TCGAATCCTTATCTCCTCGAGTTATTATTCACCCTCTCTTCTGTGAGTCTCCAATCTTAAAACGATAGATTAGAATTGGTGCATCCAGGCTGAGCAAAACTGTGCTAATAAAACATATTCACACAGACAGGCTTCTGGAGAATACAGTGGCTTCTTCTTAACATGTACACCACCTTAAAAATCCACCCCTCCCTCCCCCTTCCCTATTTCGTAGTAAGTAAGATGCTTAAGGAAATGTAGTGGAGTAAAGGTAAACATTTTATTTAGGAAGTAGTGATGTAAAAGTGAAAGTTGAAAGGAATATAAAAATCACCAGAAAACAGGAGAAGAAACTGAAGAATTGGAGAAAAAAATTATTTTAAGTAAGTAAGTTGTTTGTTCCTGTATCCCAAACAAACTTATAGACCAAAATCAGAGGGAACCACCGTGGGACGTGGCCAAGATTGGCAGTAGGCATCATGTCCATCCACTGCACCAGCTGCACCAGGACACCATCAACTACAGTTTGTCATGAGGGACATTGTGGATGCTGCCACTGTGTGGGTTATCACTGAGGCCAGGGTGACTTTGTCGCTGCATATCACCTGATTGGAGACTTCAGTGGAAGACAGATGACAGGCCACCTGTGAGTATAATGTAATCTATCCTGTCTTGTGTTGGTTGTGGAACATCACCTTAAAAAAGACACCCGATAACACACAGTGCATCAAAGTAGATGACACAGAAACATGCTGTTGTTGGGTTTTATTCATGGTAATTTGTATTAATCATTAACTGACCAGAAATGTGGCATGGTGGTGCACTGATTAGCACTGTCATCTCACAGCAAGAGGGTTCTGGTTCAAATCCACCAGCCGGCCAGTGCCCTTTTGTGTGGAGATTCGGTGTTCTCCCCATTCGTGTCAGTGTGGGTTTTCTCCAGGTTCTCCGGCTTCCTCCCACAGTCCAAAGACATGCAGGTTAACTGGTGACTCTAAATTGCCCGTAGGTGTGAATGTGAGAGTGAGTGGTTGTCTGTCTCTATGTGTCAGCTCTGTTCAGGGTGTACACCATCTATTGCCTGGTGTCAGCTGGGATAGGCACCAGCCCCCCCCCCCATGACCTTGTACCTGGATAAGCGGTTATGGAAAATGAAAGAATGAATGATCAGAAATCAGAATCATAAAAGGGTTTTTTGCTAAGTAGGTTTTCACTTACAAAGATTTTGCTTTGTTTTTGGTGCATACATTAAACATACAATAAACACTTTAAGAGGAATAAAAATAAGGCAAAGTACTGCAACACTGAAGAACATGAATGTAGAATGGAAAAATGACCATGAAATATATTAAAGATACTTATATAAAAATCCTAGAACATAACAAAAATGTAAAATATAGGTGTTTCAAAATAAGCTGTACAGTTTGGGCAGGATGTGCATAAAAAATATTAACCGGGGGATTTGCAAAAGTTCAGTGGCATAACAAGCAAAACAAGACAAAACAACACACACTAAAAAGCCTTGGCGACCATTAGTGATGCCATCTTGACTATCTGATCTGAATTATCTGACTATGTGAAGACAAAAAACTAACCTTAACTGTTTGAAGTTAAGAGATTAAAGGGCCAGTCTGCTGTTTTTGTGTGTTAATCTTATCAATTACAAATCACATTCAGTTTTTACACTATAACCAACTTTTCCCAAAACATATCATAGGTTCTTATTTAAGTATCTTTAAGCACTTGTTTCAAATGACAGTATGCTGAGATTCTAATCTAGAGCTACAATGGACAATTATTTCCATAACTGATTAATCCATCTACCATTTCTTTGATTAAAGGTCTGGTGTGGAAGATTTAGCACCATCTAGTGGTGAGGTTGCAGAATGGAAATTTCTCCTGTGTGCCAAGCCTGCAAGAGATCTACAGAAGCCAATGCAAAAATGCAAATGGCCTTTTTAGAGCCAGTGTTTAATTTGTTTTCTGGGCTACTGTAGAACAACAGGGCGGACTACGTGGAAAAGGACCTTTTCCGTATATAGATATACTCATCATTCTAAGGCAGTGGTTCCCAACTGGCCCAGCCACGGTGTCCAGATTTCTCCTCGGTCATTAGTTTGAGGTCCCACAGTGTAATACATTCAGCGTCATTCTTGTGTTTGGACATGTCATCATGCTAGTTTGCTGTCTCTGTCAAGTAGCTGTCCTTTACTCACTCAATCTACAGCAGGAAACAGCACTTCAAAATAAAAGTTCTGTGTCTTTTACAAACTGGACCTGCGAACCACTTTTGGACCACGACCCACCAGTTGGGAACCACTGTTTTAAGGTAAAAACGCATTGATTCTTAGTCTCAAGTGATAATAAACTAATGAAAACATTGTTATGAATAATAATATAGCATTTCTGCCAATAGATGCCCCTAAATCCTGCACACTGGACTGTTAATCTATTGATTGATTATTCTATAAAATGTCAGAAAAAAATGAAAAATGTCCATTGTAATTTCCAAGAGCCTCAGGTGATAGCCCAAAAACCATGTATATTTACAATTTACAATAATAAAAGACGATGAGTAGCAGTACCTGCCAGTATTTGATGAGATCAAACGATATAGAAACCTGAACATGAAACTGACAGGAGGCCGTGGGGTAGACCCAGAACATTCTGGAGGTGTTATATATCTCATCTGGCATGCGAACACCTTGGGGTTCCCCAGGAGGAGCTGGAAAGTGTTGCTGGGAAAGGGATGTCTGGACTACCTTGCTTAGCCTGCTGCCAACGCAATAAGCAGAAGGAAATGGAAACAAAGCTGTGGCTACTTTGAATATAGGAAAAATGCTTAAAAAAAGAAAGAACTTTATTCTTTGGAAACTATCAGCTGTTGTGTATTATGGATGTGTTGTAAGTTGTGTTAAACATGGAAAAACAAGCAAATTACAGTATTAATCAGAGGAACTTCTGAAAACTTCCTGTTGAAGGCAGTTGAGCAGTTCTTTGTAACTGTAAATTCACAACTCAGCATATTCACACAGGGATTACAAGCAGATTGTTTCTTCAGAACTGTAAAAGCTGCACATACCACAAGTACGCACGTTTCTCAAGTAGTGTCAAATCCTCAAATTAGCTTTAATGATTAAAATGCTCCATCTTGTTTGCTTTGCTTTGTTTCACCGCAGAGTATTTTCATCCTACAGTGTGACAATGTAAACACTTTTTAAAGCCAGGACAGCCAGACTGAAGAATGGTAAACAGGAGCGGGGCTTTGGGTGGGGACATTAATGTGGTATTTTTGTGAGCTGTTTACATCAAGGGTGCAAATTAAAAAAAACATCTAGTGACAGTGGCACTAAGAAGTGGTTTTGAATTGCGCACGCAGTCACTGCTGATAAGATTGTCTATCATATTAAACACATTGTAGAACTCTCCTTCAGCACACCATGCCGTACGTGCTTTACAGGGTGGTGATGGGTGCATTTAAGGTCACACAGGTTGACACTTTGCTGAGTGTGTGTTGTCAAAGTAAGACAGACTACCATGTAGGGTTATGTGGCTTTCTCATGGTATGACTTTTTGTACTCCTGAACGTTGTCATTCACTGTAGGTGTTTTGTTTATGCACTTTTTGAAGAATTGCGCCTGGAATTTGTATGTAGGAGCAGCCAAGGCAGATTTTCCACTGCAGAGGGGAAAAAGGTCAAAACTAACCTTGAACAGACAAAACAGAAGTATGTCACATAGACTGAAAGGTCATATGAAGAGAGAGCAGTCTAAGATTAGCCCTATTCACTGTTAACACTTTAACTACCTCTAGTTAAATTTGTTTCTATGGAAGAAATACACTGCTAACTTGTAACTTTGGAGTTTTGACTTTCAATACACAGTGTAAAATATCCTAAATATTATTTGCCTACAAATCTGCACCTCCCTACCTATACAAATATTTTAATGTAGTAACAAACAGCCACTCCCACAACACTACAGACAGTCTAACATGTATTCCTATAAGATTAGAATAAAACTTCTTTGGGAAAATACTTTTTATATACAGCCACATATCACTGGAACAAGCTGCCTTGTCTGTCTTAAACCCAGTTGAGAGGAATTTTGAATCGGAGCTCAAGAAATGGCTGTCGATTAATTTGTAGGTATATAAGGTATATATATTTTTTTTTTTAAATTTAATGTCACTCTTGTCTGACACTTTCCTTTTCAGTCGCCATCTTGTACTGCAATAGACGACAACAGACGAAATAAACCATTATGCTTTTTTGTGTATTTGAATCCTCGACAGTTTTAAATATCTTACATATAGAGCATGTCACTGTGGTTTTAAATCTTGTCAAACAAATGTATATAAAGCATATGTTTTTACTTTTTAATATTGAGGCTACAAGATAAATATGCGTTTTCTGTGACACCAATTTAACATTTATTGTTTTTAAGATATAACATTTTTAAAATAAGGAAAATTTAAACAATAAGGTTGAAAAATGCAAGACAAAATAAATTATTTGGCTTCCAAAATACATACTTGGGAGTCCAGCCCCAGAAAGCGTTAAATAACAGTGGAATATTTGCTCTAGCTGTTACAATTATATTCTAAAATCTCCAGGGGTTCGTATAGGCAGGTCGAATGCTATATGACAATATCAGCGTGTCTGTTATTGTTAGCTAAATATCCCATACATATTACAGGCAATTCTTTACACCCTAATATCTAACATGGACTGACAGACACAGCTGTATAAATCAAAATTAAATTCTTGGTTGCAGTTAGCACAGTTAAAGGAATAGTGTCTGATCTGTATATCTATGAAGTAATGTCCTCGCAAAGCCTCTATGATGCGTAATTTGAAATTTTTCTCAGATATCTAGTCTTCTCCTTTTTGCATTGTCACACAGGAGACTGAGAGAAGCTTAATGACAAACTCAATGTATTTCAAGTGAAGCACAAAGTTGTGGACGCCATCATAGTCGAACCACAGAAAATCACTTTTACAATAAACTCAACTTTATTGACAGTAAAAAGTTTTGAGAATATCGAGGGGCACGCATCTGTAACTGCAAGAACATCTCGGAAAGCAACATGACTTGTTGAAATAATGAGGCAGTTGTACATCTTTAACTTTGAGGTAAAGTGTTTTGTCATGTTACATCATTCACAAAATATCATATAACATTGAAAAGTCCACACGAGGAGACAAAAACCCATGCCTCATTTTCACTTCTTGAAATTACTTCACATTTTCAAAAAAAAGAAAAAAAAGAAAAAAGTAACAATTCAGGGAAAAAGCAGAAAATGACAAGCACACATGCTATATTCCATTCACACACATTTCTCTACTTATCAAACCAAGTGCATTTTTAGATTTACTTTTTTTCTCAAACAGTTTCAAGTATATTTTTGCCTGCGATCGAAGGAAATTAAGTTAAACTATGAAGCAGCAAACCCACAATAACAAGTAAGAATACTGAGTTTGGTCTCATTCATGTTCCCAATATTAACATTATCAGATAACTCACCATACTGTAGCAATAAGGTATTTGGGTGCTATAAAGAAGCAGGAGGTAACATTTCATGGACTTGAGGAATATGCTGGATAAGATTTGGAATATAGCTGATTAAATACACCAAGGCTGAAACAAACAACACTAAATAGATAATCACAAGTGATAACTCAACAGATCCAAACTGATTTGTTAATTAATCTTTTAAATAATTAATTTGTTAATCCACTTACATGATGCAAATTGTTTAAAATCCCAGCCTCGACTGCTGAGTGCAAAACCACAAAAGAATCGTCATAGTCGAACTGATATTTAATTCTCAGTCACACATTGCAGCAAACTTGAGTGTAGACCACAAAACCAGTGCAACGCTGTGGGATTCTGTAGAAGGCCGGCTCCATTTAAAAATACACTGGTGTTGCAAATTAGATGATTATTGTGAGTATTATGCGATTTATCAGTGCAGTAGAACAATCACAGAAAAAAAAAACAACTTGTAAAGCCATCAAGTGCTTCAGCAATGATGTTCATATATAAGCAGGGAACCTAAAAGTGCAATCCTGTATAGGTATAGCACCCCAGGCCATCTTAGTCAGGGTCTTACTGTACACTACGTGGCTCGTGGTCTGATCTGCACCAGTATTCTAAGGCTCACTTTAAAATCCAAAAACCTATTTTACATACGAGCCCTAAAGGCCCCTGAACGTTTTCAAGTTCTTTTCCCTTGTGACTTTGCTTTGTCCTGATAGTCTCGCCGTGCAGCTGCAAAATATTCTCTCCCCTCTGAGGTGACTTCACACATGCTGTAAACAATGTATTCCTACAGCAGCGTACAGCCGCTGTAGAAGTTAAGGCAATCCATTTCTGTGCTTCGTCTGTGACAAAAGCTGATCCCAAACCCAGAGGCACAAAGCTCTCAGTGCATATTAAGCTTACCTGACACACGACACAAAGTACCCTCCTCAACCACAAAAACAAAGCTCTTAGTGCATACCGAATAGAATTCTTAAAATGTACATGCCATGCTTTCCTTTAACTGCCTGTGCACATGAACTCTCAAAAGTGCTAACAAAATCACTTAGCAAAAGATGGCTAGTCAAGATTTTTGAGCACCAGATCCCCTCCAGTTTTTTTTTTTTTTTTTTTTTTTGTAGTTAAGAGGAAACCCCCAAAGAAGGCACTTTTGAAGCAGAACCAGTAGTTCTGCCAGATGATTTGATATGGGAGTGCAATCAATCATAGAATATAATTTGCCTCCTCTAAACTTTAAATGGTGCGGTGAAAAGATTCTTCACTCGCATCTGCTTTAGTTTGATAAATATTCTCACGTTAAAACCACAAATCCTTTTACTTACACTAGGGATTTAAAGCAACTGATCTGGTGCAGAACAAACAGGAGCCTACATCTTTAGAGAGCAGCGGTCACCTCTCCTCAGCCCACCTGATGCTCTCCGCGGCTGATGTGAGACGAGAACTCGTAGCGGTCCTGGCTGCGGTGGCCACAGATGTTGCACTCGAAGGGTTGGTGAAAGCCATGGCAACCCATGTGGATGGTGAACATGACATGGTCCAGGAAGAGGATGCGACAGTGCCGGCAGTGGAAGTTGCGCACAGGCCGGCCGTCCCTGTCTAACACCTGCACAGTCTCCATGGAAGAAAGGGGCGAGACAGGGCTCCTCTTTGCGATCATGGGGGGTACAGGACACGCTCTCTCCCACTCTGGGTCCGAGTCTTTGGCCTGGCTGGGGCTGGAAGTGGGATGGCTGCGGGGCAGTGCTGGGGTTTGATAGTGGAGGTGGTGGTTGTTGGAGGTACTTGTCGGGGCTGTAGCCCTTGTGCTCTGCTCTTCTGCTGTGCTCTCTGTGTCTGTAGAGTCGGGGCAGCCGTTGGGTGAGGTGGTGTGGCTATGGGCTGAGCGCTGGTCATCGCGGCCTTCACCTGCCTCCCGCCCAGCCAGGCCAAGAGACACCGCTGCCAGCCCACCTCCACCATGGGCTCGGGGGCCCTGAGGAGTCACGTTGCTTTTGATGGAGCCCATAACCGTGCGTAGCTCCGACAGGAAGGCAGGATGGAGCTGAGACAGTGCAGGCGGCTCATGGTTCTCCCCTTTAGCCCTGCTGCGTTGGAGATGTGAACCGGCCAAACCAGCAGAGTCTCCAGCAGGCTGAGAGCTCATGAGGTCTCCATCCTTCTCAGAGCCAGAGGACAATTCATAAGGTGCTTCAGGTAGGTCGAGGCTCATGTGCTTTTCACCTATTAAAAAAAAAAGACATATCAGTATTAAGCAAACATTAAGATGGAGGGTCCCCACATCTGGCCCATTGTCACAGAGCAACATCGACAAAGTGTCACCAAACTGGCAACAGCAAGTTGACATTTGGCTGACTGTACTTAATCAGCCCATTATCAAGCTAAAAATATATTGTTATTACCGTATAATTTAAATTAATAAATAAAGTGTGCATATGTAATAGGTTTTACATATATATATATTTACACATGGATTGTCTCATTAAAAAAAACTCACCCAGAAACTTCTGTGGCGTTGACCTCTTGCGTTTGGTGGTGATGCTGATAGCCAGTCTATCCACAAACTGGATTTTTTCACTGGATGGCTGCAGCACAGGTTTAGTAATTGCCTCCATATTTACTGACTCTTCACCTGCAAACAGTCATCAATATAACACACTTGCATTACTCGGTCTGTTTGCATTTACAGTCATGCAGCAACTTAGTGAGTTTCATGTGTGTTTGTTGTGTTACCCTGTGCTGTCTGTGCGTTGACTGTTGTCTGGTGGTCCAGACTCTTCAGGTAACTATGGCAGCGCTCTAGATGCTCGTCGAGTGTGCTTTGTTGTTTGTAGCTGCGACTACAGTAGCTACACTTGAACGGCTTTCCCACCGTTGGAGAAGAAGCTGCAATTGAGAGAAAAAATATTAAATTGATTTCTTCTGCGATGGACAAAATGACCAAAATGTCACTCTAGATGATGGATACTGTTGATCTAATGTAATTTGCTAGTCATGTAAACTACTATACTGGTGTTGTATATTAATATGTTTGTGGGAGGGGATTTTTATAAAGAATAAATTATTATTGGCTAGGTTTGAGAGAATGGATTTCCCCATTGATTGGCAATTCCTGAAATTTTTCTACGCTGCTCGCCAATGACGACAGAAAAATGCCCAGCCTTCCACCGCAACATTTCCTCTTACTAAGCCATCGGAGAGACTGACGTCAATTCGCTGAAATCCAGATTGAAAAGAATCTTTTCTTCGAAAATGAACCTCTTGAGACCCGCGGCCAAGACCTACTGTACCAAGACTGTAAAAGTCAACACCTGTTGAATGTGTGTTCACAATTTGAAGCGCCAACAGGATTTCCTGTTTTGCTCAAACTGTTAAATGTCATATTTTGTCATGTGTTTTACAGTAGATTCTGGTGAGAACCTACTTCCTCTGAGTTTCACAGAAGGGGGCCGTTCTAATGAATCCCCACTTCTGCCACTTACCGTTGATTCAAACATCATACCTCATCATAACAAGGAATAGTATTGTTATTTAACAACTGCATCCATCAGATTCAATAGCTGAATAAGCACATTTTTGAAAAATATATCAACAGTTAGATACTGTTGTATTACACTTAAAACACACTCACTTACCTGCATGTGTGCGTAAATGTCCAGCCAGGGCATCTCTCCGGCGACAAGCATAGTTGCAAACAGGACATTTGAAAGGCTTCTCTCCCGAATGCAACTTGATGTGGCGCAACAAGTTCCCCTTCTGGGTGAAGGAAGCTCCACACTGATTACACTGGAACGGCCTCTCACCTATGAGCATATGGATGAACAAAGAACTTCCTTTATTTAAAGACATTTAGTGTAATAAGTAAAACAATGTTGTCACTGCCTTGCTGGCTTGTTCTCACCTGTGTGGCTACGCTTGTGCACCATTAGCACGTTGGGTCCAATGCAGATCATCCCACACACTTCACACTGGAGCTTCCCATTGGGCAGCCGGATAGGTCCTGGTGAAGCAGCATTTGGACTGGCCATCTCATTGTAAACGCTCCCTCTGTCTCTTCCAGCCCCAGCGTACTCTGCGCTCCCTTCTTCCATGGGGTCCCCTCTGTCATCCCTCCTGCTATCGTCCCTCACAGCCTCTCTGTTCTCTGGCTGTGGAGCACCTGGTGACTCATCATCGCTGCACAGCTCAACCTTGATGGAGTTTGCTGTGTGGAGAGAGGGTGAGGCAAAAACACATTTGCTTTCATACATAATGTTAATGAAGAATTCTACACAGATAAAACAGGCACAATGAAACAAGGGAAGGATAACTGACCACTAAGGGATCGGTGTGGTGACGACTGCTGACTGTTTGGAGATCTTGCCGAAGGGCCCTGCAACCTGCCATAAAAATCCTGTTCGGTTGATGACTCTCCTCCATTACCTGAAACACAAATATGCCCATGTTATTAAAGTAAACATTAAAGTCTGGAGACTGCACACACAAATGTATAGTAGTTTCTTCCTTTTCAGGAAACTTACCTTGTGCATATGAGCGTCCATTGCAGTCATCAGCATTCATTCTCTCACCAGATGCCTACAGAAATATCATTTAAAAACACATTTCCAATTACTTTTCTCCCCACTCATAATAAAAATATCTTAGTCACATTAACACAAACACATTTGTCACTGACCATAGAAAATATACTTACCAGCTGTTTGTTGTGACAAGGATAAGGCTAGGAAACAGCTTTAAGCTCTCACTTCCAAGTGTCTAATAATAAGTTCACTCTAATAAACTAATTTAGTAAACCTGTGCTCTGCCCTGCTATTTCTGTATCATGTAGATTCTTCTGCAACATGGCCAGCAAATGAATATGAGAAGCCCTGCATTTATAGAAACCAAATGGCCAAGAGTGTTGGAGGAGGAGTTAAAACGCCTGGGGGTGGACAAAATAGCTGGAACACCTTACACTACTGATGTTATCTCAACAAAATTCAACACTGGTCCTCTGTGCTTTTTATATATATTTATAGAATATTTATATACACACATATTCTTTAAAATATTTGTGTTCATAATGATCCTGCCTATGTTTTGCTTTTATTTGTATAGATTTGTTATCCTTGTTCCCAGCTGTCATGTCTATTTATGTACACATAGTACTTCCCCAATAAAATTGATTCTGATGTATTAAGATGTTGACATCAAACTTTATTTAATCCCAAGGGGGAAATTTAACTTTAGAGAAAGAACATGAGGATGACCAGAGAGGTAGAGAGGAAATAATGCAGAAGAAAAAAATCCAAGCTATAAAGCTATATGTAGGCCTAGTACGTTACCTTAATTATTAGCAGTTTTCTGATAATCTAAATGTATATGATATATACATTGATAATATATACAGTTATAATATTTTATAAATTCATAATCTGGCAATGTTGAATTTTGATGAGGTTAAGTTCGTGGGTTATATTTATTTGCTGTTATTATTTATTGTTTCTGTTTTTTTGTCCACCCCCTCTGTATACGTGCAATAGGCCAATAATATTTCACTGTAGGTGACATGGTGCAGCAGACTGTTAAGTGCAAAGAGGTATGCAGACTACACCAATTTCCAACACGGGCGGTGCTAAGTTAACAGACAGATAACATGTTGATTCCATGTGAGCAGAGTTAAGGTGATTCCCCATTTAATGTCATGTTTATAGAGAAAAGAGAGACACAATAATACCCAGATGTACAATGCTGCACCTTTTGCTCAAATGGATGACAACAACAATGGACAGAGGAGACTGTGGAGCGAGCTGGGGGGGGGGGGGGGGGGGGGGGGGGGGGGGGGGGGGGGGGGGCGGAGACAACACATCGCAGGGAAAATTAATATCCTGGCATTGGCCGCGCATGGGGAGCAACAGGCGCTGATGCAGCCGGGAGACGCGCCAGTCACACCAGGGCACGGCGATTAAAAAAAAAAAAAAAGAGAGGGGGACGCGCACCAGCGCCGACCCTTTCCTGGGCGACTGACTGTGCAGTAAAACATATTGCGTTACATTTTCAAATAACTATCATGCTTCTCCATGTATGCGCGGCTACTAGTTTTAGCTGCTCGGTGCTGCTTTGGTCCGTTATGACACCAGTCAGCTCATGGACGGTCGAGACAGCGGCGAGACACCACGGCAATTTGTTGCAGGAGTTGCCACAGTCCAAATTGTCCGCATGAACGCAGCTGTCATCCGACATCGAGCACGTCAAACTGGCCACGGCTATACAATGTTTCTCATGAGCCGTTGCTATGGCACCCGACCACACGACAAATGGCATTCACCCTACCAACTACTCAAAAACATGCCGTACTCCCAAATTAAAACCGATGGATGGTCTTACCAAGCGCCGCGGTGAAGTCCACAAGCCTCCTCCTTACCTGGCGACCGATCGGTGTTTTCCCTTTTAATTGTCTGGATAGCTGTTTGTTTTCCCAAGCGACGACAGCATCTCCGGGATTTTTTTTTTTTTTTTTTTTTTTTTTTTTTTTTTTTACCTGGGAATCCCAAAGAACTTCCGGGCCCATGCTGGGATACAGACCGAATAATTGTACAACAGAGCTCTTGATTCAGTGATTGTCGAATGCATCGATGCATGTCAGCTGCGGGTACAGGTGGCAAAAATGTGATGAAATATATGCCATGAGGACAACTAACAGGCTCAACACAAGGTTATTATAGGCTGCTGCGCATTCATGTTGTTTGGTGAAATACTGGAGAACAAGATGGACAGTAAGTATGCTGCATTTAGTAAAATTATTCAGTGGAAAAAAAATCATAACTGTGTATGATAAAGGCCTCTTCCGGAAATGCAAGTGGAAAATGAAGTAGGCGGGTTATTTTCCAATTTCTATCTATCTCTCTTTGGCGTCTGTTTACCCGTATTACATGATTATAACATCATTAAATATATTTTTATTGTATTAATATTTTGTGTTCATGCTGTGAAATTAAATGTCATGCACATGGTGGTGTTAGTTTGGTATTTTGTAGCAGGCAAACATATTAAAAGACAAGTAAAATTGTGAGGAAATAGTTTATGGCGGTAGTACACATTCAGCACCACTATGTGGCAGCAAAGTGCTGTTTGAGACCAACTCCAAGTAACCAATCAGACATCCGTGAAATGCTATGAGAGTCTCTGTGCATGCAACACTGAAGAATAGAAACACAGTGACTGACAAACAATGCCATCAAGAGTCTCACTTTGCCCTTGTAACCATTCAGGCCACTCAGAGAGAAATGAAGGGCAACTATTTGAATCGATGAGGTCTGTACCGTCGCAGAAGGACCTCATAAGCCTCATTGATCTTCAGAAACATTGCTTCAGCATCCTTGCTGGGATTGTGGTCCGGATGCCATGTCTTGGCCAGCTCCCTATAGCTGTGGGTTATGTCTTCAAGAGAGGCCTCTACTTCTAATGACAATACCTGCAACATAGATATATCCAGATACAAAGAAGAGATTATGACGATGCCAGAGAAATGACTTAACTCACTGAAAGTGTTCACACTGATGCACTGTATATCCCTTATGGTATAACTATATTAAAGGGTAACTTCATAATTTTCAGCCTATTATCCTGTGTCTTTTTGTCTAAGTGATGAAAGGGGAACATAAGTTTTGAAACTGGTCCAGTATTGAGTGACAGTGCTGCAGTCCGCAGCGGTGAAACAGGCTGCAATGTAACCATATGGGGCAATTGTGCTTTGTCAGTGTAAATCCAATAAAAGGACTTGTTTTGCCACTGACAGGCTCAGATTGTTGTTATAAGTGTCTGACAACATTATGGAAAAGAGAGAGATCAATCTTTTTGTTAAAGAGTAAAATCCTTTTTGTTTAACCACAAACAGCCTAAACATCGCTATGGCCAAACCCACCAGACTCCATTGAAATAAACAGTAATTTTGCCATCATAAAACAAGCATTTTAGTGGATGTAAATCATGGTGCATAATTGACCCTTTGCAAGGTTCCGCCCCTGGACGCTGACTGGCCAATCATAACATAGCATGGGGCCGGCTCAGACCAGGGTCCAACAACAACATAGCTGTGCGCCACTGACTCTAATGCAGTCGTTTCAGATTTCCTTCATTTTCAGGCTGGTTTTGTGGATTTAGACTGTACAGGAACCAGTGAAGCTTTGCTGATATTCAACCAGCTGTCTGTCATTGCACTGTGCACAGATGAACATTGTTTGACTTCCCCCGGAGAACCCTGCCCGTCCGGCGGTGGAGGTCCGGGTGCTGACAGTGGCACAGGGGTGAAGCCAAACACTGTTCATCTGCACACACTGCGATGTCACACAGCTGGTTCAATATCAGCAAAGTTTCCCTTTATATTCATTGTCTTCTGTGGCCATCAGCAGTGATGTGGTGGTTCACTTTTACACTGTGATCTGTAGTGACATCCTGGATATATCCTTCAAACACAGACTGTAGACCCCTCTATCTGCTTCTCTCTGGAATCACTGTTTCATTTTTCCAAAAATATGAAATAATAATATGATACGTAAGGTCAGTAGCCTCCAGTTGTTTAGCTGCTGCCAGCTGCAGTGCTCTCACTCAATACTGAACCAGTTTCAAAAATTATTGCTCCCATTTGTCACATAAGCCTAGTTCAGACCAAAGATTCGATACAAAACAAGTTGAAACTTGCAACTACTTGCAACGTGCTAATGTGCAACGTTCTGAAAACCTGCCAGTTTTCGATTAATCAGTCAGTGAGTATGTATGTGTGACATGCACACATACAGCCAGCAGATACCCAACATCTGACATCAATACACTGTGAGCACTGAGACTGACATATGTGTCAACAGCCACAGAGATGTAAATGAGACAGACTTGGCGTCGACGGTGACGGACAGCTGTTGTCAGAGAATGCTCCAGCAAGTGAACACACCGTCTGCTGCAATTTTTTTAGTGACTTGCCCAGAGGACTTTGCTACAAGGCTGTTAAAACAGGTGACGTGCCTTACGTTCTAAACCTAGCCACCTAGCAATTTAACAAGTTGAGTCGCAGGTGACATCATCAGCTAACCTTTGTGAAGCAGTGACCGGCAAGTTCACAGTGTTGCAATTTTTGTCTGCAACTTTCTAAAATGGTTTCATCTCGTTGTGAGTCTTTGGTCTGAACTTGGCCTTACACACAAAAAGACAGGAAAATAGGGTCCGAGTTGACAATACCAAAGTTAGCCTTTAACTCGTCCCTTATACAGCATTTCCAGAGTTATGCGCTTGCTCACCTGCAGCGCCTCTCTTTCTCTCTCAGTATACTCTTTGAGCAGTATTTCCAGCACCTTCCTCCAAGCGTCTTCGTAGTACCCCCCTCCAGTAAGAACACACAAGACCCGATATGGAATTAAAAGAATGTACTCTAACACATTTCTGAGCCAAGGGAGAAACCAGAAAATATCCAGCAGTGCTGCTACACAGTCAGACAGGTAATACAGTGTGGCTGTGGTGTTATGGAAAATACAGTAACCCAGTGGAGCAGAGAAGGCCAGCCAGGCCAGGCCGAGCTTGTAAAGCCGTGGACCTGCACAAGAGAAGAACATTTTAGTGGACCTTAAAAATTCAGAGAGAGGCAATGTTATTAAGCCGTGAAATGAAATCAAATAATGTTGATGTATTTGTTAGATCATCTCACCCAGTTTCTGTGTGCTCCCAGGTGTCCGTGGAGGTTTGACCCTTCGGTATTGTGCAGCAGTGACACTGGCAGCAAGGCTTATAGGGAGAGGTGATAAGGTGCTACCATAGAATATTGGGGAGGTTATGAGACAAGTAGTCAATGTTTTTTGGAGATCAGAAGTCTGCTGACCAATACAGGACACCAGATGCACCCCTGCACCCACACATAAAGGCAGGACGATCAAGTAGAAGAAACTGAGGGAGTTCAGTCCAATCAGAGCCACCGTGCCAAAGTAGATTCCAACACACACCTGCCCAATGAATCTGACAGGGCTTACAGGTGGAAGGCCTGAGGTGGGAGGTGTTTTTCTCTCTTTGTCTCCGTCTCGATTGGCTTCATTAACGTATGCAGGAATACGTATGACCTCTCTGACCCAGCCAAACCCAAATCCTCCCAGGGTTAGCATCCATAGCAGAGCATGGCTGTCTCTTCCTAAGTATAAATGGTGAAGGCCCAAAGGACCACCTGCTGCCCACAGGGCGTAGGCTACTATGACACTTTTTACCATCCTTTGGCCTCGGTGGATCAGTCCCTGCACAGGTGAAGGTTAGTCATCCTTCATGAGTACCTGCATTGAATTAAGGGAAAAGTTTAGTCTTACCTCCTCTCATTTTTTGTTAAGATATATTGACTACTAAAGGCTGCATTACCAGTTTTACATGATCTATTTTACTTATTTCATTACAAGTCAGTGTTACACATTTCTGTGTGTTTCCCCTCATCAGCGTGCTGCTGTGTCTTGGCAAAGGGATTTTTAATCTCAGCAATCCACATCCCTGGTTAAATAATATATTATATAAGGGGGATTTATCTTAGTTCATGATGGGCATTGTCATTGTAAGCCATTACGTGATCCAAAACAAGTTCTGACAGTCAGTGCTATCACATGTAGTTTTTTAAGGAGAAAACATACCACATGTGTACAAGAACTCAGACACTGAGATCATAAGCACCAGTCTTTCTCTATAAATCAATTCAGTCAATCCAAAGGTTATATCAGACTAACTGTTCAATATATTTACCTTTTAAAATACATTTAAGAATAAAATACATCTAAAGAAAAACTAGGTTACTTACTAAGCCCATGATTTCAAATCCTTATCCCGATAAATCCTTTCTCGTCCTTTCTTTAGGCCTAGTTGAAGTTGCATGTTGTTGCAACAGTTGGACTTTGGATCATGACAATGATATTACACTGTGGCCTCATCAGTGTTTCAGTCGCTTGATCATCTGAACTGATAAGGTGAGGGAAATGTCTGAGAGGGACATTTGTGAGCAATAGGACACTGGTTTAATGCTGTAGAGTACCTTAAGCTCTTCTATAAACCTCTTAAAAATGAATGCATTGCAAACAGAGCTATACACAAATAAAGAATATTAAACCCTAAATAAAAGCCTTATACTAAATTCCCTGTGTGCAAGAACAATGACAAAAAATATAGAAATCCTAACATATGCTTTACTTACTGTACGTAAAAGATACAATACCACAATGTAAAAATATCACTCTACAAGTAAAACTAAAATTTTACTTGACAGTACATAAGTAGGCTATGACGAAAGTCTACTGAGAGAATGACCTGTGTCAGTGTATGTCTGAGGTTGGATTACTCTTACTGATGCAAAAGAACCATTTCATCTGGTGGTCATTGAGCTAATTTAAACTATTGTTGGGTAATTTAATTTGCTGTAAGAGTGTGTCATATTTTATATGCTCACTGTAGGTTTTAAAAATCTTAATGTACAATTTAACAAGTAATTATGTCTGTCATATATATGTAGTTGAGTAAAAGATACAATGATTCCCTCTGAAATCAACTCAAAAAAGTAGGTTAAAAGTACCTCAGAATTGAACTTAATCACAGTTATAGAGGTACTTTAGAAAAAAATGTTGTAAAAAAGAAAAGGTTGATGTCGATGTATAGCCAAATATATGTTGATGTATTATTTTTCAGAAACATTTTACTTTTTACCCACTACATTTCTGTGAAGGTTCTCATTTCTTGTTTGCTTTGAAATCAGCTGATATTATTTTTTCTTTCGTAAAATGCAAAAGTCCAAAATCTGTGATCGTGCAGTTCTGCGTGTGGTACTTTGTCAAAGTGGTGTTCTCCAGATCTGGATTGTAGAATACCTCAAACAGCAACAGTCTACAGCACAGAAACACTGATGTTTTCCTCCATTTTTAAGTTCATGTGAAAGCGATGGGCTTCATAATCACAGTGCAGTGCCATGTCAAAGGAAAAAAAACAAAAACAAACACCAATTATACCTAGGCGAATGTGAGAACAGAAAGACAACTGAGCCCTCTTTTAAATTAGCTGACAATGTGAACACAAGAAGAACTGAGTCCCTTTTCTGTTGGTCCACTTTTTGGTGCACTTTAAGAGGACTGAGCTCGATTTGTTTAAAAAGGACTATATGTGAAAACACCCTAAAATAACCCTCTGAATGCACTGACTCGTGACACTTTGTGTTCACAAGGCACAGGTTAAGCGAGCTGTACCATGGACTTGAAGCAAACTGTACTCAGACCATCTTCAGAGGAGGTCTGATTACAGGTAAAAAAGGAGTAAGAGGAAAAATCTGTATTTTGTGTGAACTCTCTCTTTAAGTGTGTTGCAGTTCACCAATAGATCTAGCTATGTATCCATGTAAAACAACCCACTGAATGCACTGATTTGTAAGTAAAGCAAGTAAACAAGTCATAATTTGTAGGCTGGGTTAATTCAACTTCTAATACACAGCACCATCATAAATGTGAAACAGCTTGACCTCTCCTCTCCCCCTGTCTCTACTGATGAGCTGCCCAATCTGAGCAGCACATGCATGAGGTAGAGGTACAGGAGCACCGCTTCGACAAACAACCACACACAGAACTGCATAATCACAGTTTTTGGGCTTTTGCATTTTAGAAAAGAAAAAAAATCATCCGCTGACTTAAAAGCAAATGTAACAAGAAATGAAAGCCTTTATAGAATTGTAGTGGAGTCAATCCACAGACCTTGTTCTGAGCAGTTTTGTGTAGGAACTATTTCCTTTCTACCAAACTACACGCACCAACCATATCACCGCGCAGGAGGAAGTGTGCATCTACTCCACAGATTTAAAGTAAATCCTAGATACTGGATGACAAGATGGCGCCTGATCTACTCATGGACGAGAGGCTGGTGCTGGTGACAGCGCAAGATGTAAAGATTAGTAGTGTCCTCAGCAGTACTATAATGTTGGTTAGCTCAATGGTGCTGGGTGAGCTAACACTGGATGCATTCTGTGCAGTGATGTGGTTGGTGTAGTTCAGTAGAAAGAAAATAGTTCCCACATGAAACTGCTCACAACAAGGTCTGTGGATTGTTTTGAGTGACCGGGTCATGATTTCTGAAAAGACACATTGCTGTTGAGTTTTTTTAAATGTATTTTTTGGCACTTTGAGCACCACAAGCCAAGTGACATCTAGTTCCATTATATTCAAGCAAAGGCAGACATCTCTACAGCTGATATCTCCAACAATTGGCAACTCACACCAAAACAATCTGGACTGATAAACAGCACTACAGGTAAGAGGGAAAATATGTATTTTTGATCTTGGGTTGAACTCTCTCTTTAAGTGTGTTGCAGTTCATCAGTAGATCTGGCCATGTAAATGTGTTCTTTGTCTATTTTTACTTGGAGCACCTAACAATGAAATACTTGTACACGCTCCAAAGTGCGTGAGCATCTCAGTGTTTAAATGGCATCTCTGATATGCTTACTATGTACATACACACCTTTGGATATGAATGACATTTCATGGTGATGACGTTAGTGTATTAATGACAGTGATGACTGACAGCTACCTGTCACTGTGAGCTCCCTCCGCTCAGTGTGGCCCCGCCCCCCGCCCGGCGACCCCTCCTTGTTTGTCTTTTATCACAGAGCTCAGTGTAGCTAGCAGCAGCTAGCTCAGCCGTTTAAATGCACCCGGGCTGGACAGCCTCACATCCACGGCATTACTAACAACATGCCCCGAGTTTTAACTTTTTAACCATTTCCGCCCCTTCAGCGCTTCTGGGGACACTGTTATGGTTTCGGAGAATGGACGACGTGTCGGTTAGAGAGCAACTTTTCCACAACCGCGTCCGGGAGACCATAGTAAGTAACTCTGCGCTAATGTAACCGTCGGTTAATATGCATATGAGGGGTCGCTTCCGACAATACAAGCAGCCACCTAATCACGACAAACAAGCCACGTCGATTAAGTGTTTGTTTCGCGTGACTTGGCTTTTGCTCAACTCTCTTATTAAGTTCTCTAAGTCTCATATTTCAGCGTTAAGCATCAGTATCTGAAACAGTAAGTTTAACTTGTGGATAACTTAATGTTTGAGTGGCTGTTGGCTTCTGTACAGACGTTAATCACTGCACGGATGCAGCTGGTCATTTGGTAGTGGTGAGGCTCAGAGATATCAAGGAGCTTACTCAGCATCTGGGCCACTTCCTTATGAGTTTCTAAAGAGCTGCAACTCTCTTCACATCTTCATTTTCCTGTTTTTCACACCCTACTTCACACATTTTTCTGTTTTACCACACAGTTCATGATGCATTGTACTTTTACTGCGGTGGTTTTTGCCTGTTGGCTGATTCTGCTTTGTGCAACATCATGTTGAACTTCAGACTTGCCTGAAAGACCAGTTCCCTTACAGCAAGGCACATGGATATTGACCTTTAACCCTACAAAAGTACAATCAGATTTCACAGGCAGGTCGTTTCCTAAGATTGGAGATATTTCTGGTACAGTGTTACATAAGGGACAATGTCAAACAATATATTTTCTGCTGTATGTGTTGGAATCAGTGGTTGACTTATCAATTTGTCCTGGTTTTGCTCCGCTGTAAATAGATAAGAAAAAGCTCACATTGTACTAGTACTGTAGTATAAGAGGATGAGCAGAAACTGCAGCGGGCGTACATTTATAGATGAATTATGTAAAATAAAAATGAATGATCGCCTTGGGAGACTGAGTCATTACAACAGCAAATGATAGGGTGGAGTAAATTAAGTAGGAAAGCCAGAGGACCTTTTTTACATGTAATAGCAGCTAAACCACAGGTGGATCTAATAACACCATTTTTATTTAGCTGTCCCAGTTGCAGGGCTCTAGTATTGTATTAGTATTCTAGTGTTAGTGTCATTAGATACACCTGTGCCTTTATTGCTATGACAAATCAACATCTCTGCTGTGACGTCACTTTTAAATTATAAAAACAGCCAGAGCAAAATAGTCTGAGGCATTTTAAGGTGTGTTTAAAACTGCTTTGGCTCCTCAACTTTTTTAGTTCTGTAGGTTATTTCCTTGTTAAAGTTGTTTCTGATTAGATCAGTCTGCCCATTTTAGGTGTCCTCTAGGCAATCCCATGTCAGGTAATGCTCGTAGTTGCAGACATGTGTTTTCAATTGTGTAGAAAAAACCTAAAATCAGAAGCTCCTAAAGTGCCCATATGAATTCTTCTGCCCTTGTTGTGTCATTGTCCCTTTCACCTACAGACCTAATGCTATTAGTCGACACCCCCTTCTTAAGCCACTGGCCGGCCTCGAGTCTCCAGCTTACTATCTCTCCTCAATGCTCCCCGTCAGGCTGGTCAGCTGCCCCTGCATCTCTGGTTATTAATGGCTTTGGGCTGAGCTTATCATTGGTCAGCGCATTTTAAATGGAAGAGCACGTGTAGATACAGTTGTAGTATTTTGCATAGTAAAGCATCCAAACGATAAACACTTGTCACACTGAAAGACCAGGTAGATAGATACCATAGATAGGTGGATACAGCAATAGCAGAATAAGAGAAGTTTTTGAATATAACATTTCTGATCTGAGCATTTTTAATACAGAAGATGTTTTTGTTGTCTGTACCGAGGGTGCGTACAGAGTTTGGCAAGCGAGCATTTATATGTGCAGCTTCTTATATGTGGAGTCTTCTGCAGAAGGACTTACAATTGCACTCATTGGTTCCTCTCGGCCGTTGCAGGTTTTGTACACAATCTTCGATATGCCAATGTCATGGTGTGTCTTAGCTGGTCTTTGTAATCATGTGTAGTTGCCGGGTTTTTTTGCGTTTTAATGGTTCATTTCTGGCATATTAACATAGTTTTTTGGCTTTTCTTTGTCGTAATTTCATTTTGTGTTTAATATCGCTTGTTTTAGAGCTTTACCTTTTTTTATTCTGTGTTGTCTGTCTGTAACTTATGTTGCTGCATGTCTTGGCCAGAACACTCAAGAGTTTTTTCTGGTTAAAGAGAGGTTAAATAAATAAAAAAAGAACATGAAAACAAGATGGCAAAGAGGGCAAAATAGAGAGCTGTCTCATATAAAGTTAAACTAATTTGTACAGTATACATCAAAAACCTGTGGCATCTCATTAAACCAAGCATGTTTTGAAATGAGATATTCTCGAAAGACTTTTTCCCAGCAGACATGTTGACTTGTTATAGTCCAAAAAGCACAGGTGAAATTGAGAACATCAACGATGACTCAGTTACATTAAGTGTCTCAGTAAGCTATTCAAGTGAGCTAGCGTGCACAATACCAGGGCCTCCCCTAAGTGGAATGCAGCCATCATCAAAAGTGAACACCACCCAAATAAAGAATACTAGTGTTATTTCCATGGCCTAAGAAAGGTCAGTCAATATTTCTCAAAGTCAGAAACCAGAGAATTAAGTCTCAAACTTGTAATGTCATTAAGCATTAAGTCTGGAGTTGCTCCATAAACGGTTTTGTGGACACACAGAATGTTCGTTCTCTTTGTTTTATACCCAAATGAGCTTTACTTTATTGTAGTGTTCTCAGTACTGAAACAAAAAATGTACCCATATATTCTCAGCATTCCCGAGGGTGCTCTCAGTGTCATCTAGGACTTCTTTCCCAGTTAATTGTCTATGGAGCAGCTCCAGACTTTATACACTATTATATAACAAATTTGAGTTTTAGCACTCTAGCTTTTGGATTCAACAGAGAGTTGTTTGTTTTTACTAATATATTTTAGACTGTTACAGACCATAGGAATAAAATACATGATTTTGAAATATGGGTGAAGTTCCCCTTATAATGTTATTGCACACACTTCTACCAAGACTTGTCAGAATGTCTGCCATGAAAAGGACCTATTACTGATCTAAACCTACACACTGCAAACACCTTCAACCTTGGTTGTCTGAGCATCCAGAAACCAATCAGGCTAAAGGTATTTTCAAATGCATTTGAAAACCATCTGGATATATAAAATGGCATGTGTTACATTAATTCTCATTATCCGAGGCTGAGATGACCTATAAAACTATTTGGGGGAGTCACAGGACAAACATTGCCAAGGCAAGAAGAGCGCCTGCAGTAATCCGTCAGTGCTCAGAAGACAGAAAGACTCATTTACATAATCATAGTGATCTGTGTAATATGTTGTTAGAGCACAGACCAGTGTCAAAATGTAGTGCTTGGTTGGCAGGAAAAAAGGCAGTATTTATATGGAAATGTTGGCTTTGTACAGCTTTTGGTCAGGAGCCTCACGGCAGTCCAACAAGTCCAACAAGTCAACAGTAACTCTTTCCAGAATGTGAATAGATAACATTGAATTCCTCATTTGGAACAAACAACACCAAGTAAGCAAGCAGTGTATATTTCATACATTGGCTCAACAGGACACGCCAGCTAATCACTCAAAACATTTTAATTAAGGCCTAACATAACATCGTAAATCATGTTAGATCACAGCATGTGGCAAGTGTACCAGGTGTAGATTGAAGAGATTTGTTTATGTGAGATGGTGTAAATGTGAGAGCCAGGAGTGCACACCCATAAGCCTAAAGGGATCAAGAAGGATCAATGATCGGCTGAATAAAAGGTCACGATAAGTAGAGATGTGGAGCACTCAGCATCAGCACAAATTAAGATATCAAGTCACCCTGAGAAAAGTTGTTTGAGTACCACGTTATCTAATCCAAATGTGTGTCTTAGAAATCACTTTCTATAGAATTTTGAGATATTAATGATCTGTAATTTTGTCAGCGCATTCAAATTTGCTTCTTACTTTGTTTTATTTTAGTTTTTAAGGAGAGGCTATGTTATGGCTTCGTTGTCGGAGGAAAACAAATTAAAGCACATTGCTGTCAAACATTTTCTGTTCTCAAGGATGCAATTATCTTACTGTAATTTCAGTTGTGCTTGTCTGAAATCTCATATCACTAAGCTATCAAATATTGCATGACACATTCCTGTATAATAATCAAAACACCCGACACAATGTACCGCAGCTGCCCACCTTCTCTTTAGATTAGGATGGCTTTGCTCATGCAACATTTAAAGTTATTTCTGGCTGTTGAATAAATCTTGAATAGGTCTTGCTAAATCTATCCTCTTAATTATAAACAAAGGTTGCATGCTTTGCCTACGTGTTTCTCTGGACAGGAGGCTGGTTGCCCCTTAAATAACACACTCTAAGGGAGTCCACTTGACATTTTGCAAGAAGGTGCTGTGCCACTGCCAACCTCCCGTTCCTTTTAGTTAGTACAGGAACTACAAGGTTAGGCAAGATGTGTAAACATGTGAGCGTCATTGTTTTTTCGCTTGAGTCAGCACAAAGATGTTTAGGTCACTCTGTGAATTTTAAAATGCTCCGAGTGAACTCTGATCTCCGGGGCTTTGTGTTCAGCACAAAGATGTCCCCCTCTGGATGCTGAATTCCTTTTAACTCTCTTCTTGGTGGCCTGCTATGTGCTGCCAGCTCTTAACACTGCCAATCAGCACGTGTCCCCACATATGTGGACTAAATCAGTGTTTTTTTTCCTCAGCCAAAACCGATCCTTTGTTCCCTACTTTTCCTTTTGTTGGATTAACCAGAGCAAATTAGACTGCAGAACTGAACATTTTTGCACACTGAGCTGATTAGGTACAGTCCATTGTTGTTTGTGATGCAGCTTGTATGTTACCAATGATCATCCCCACCTACACAGTAAAACACTGTACTCCTCAACAGATGAACTGTTGGGCATAATGCAGTGATCTTAGGTAGGTCTAAGCAAAATGTGACTACATAATGTGGTTGACTTTTATATTTGCTTGTTATTGTAGAAATGTTGGGGCTTTACCAGTGAAATAGTAGCTGTCAAACATTATTATAGATACCATGAAGAAGAGAAACCTGATTTCTAATTTGAGCAGTTTAACGTGAACTTTTGGTACTTTGTTATTTAAAACTGATCTGCACAGATGAGATGAGGACTTATACGTTGCCTGGGTCCAGACTCCAAGGTCTGGTACCCTACTCTGCTGGCATGGTGACACAAAACAGCTGTTTCTAGGTTAAAATAAAAACTGATCCAATAATTGCCCTGGGGGTATGAACTATTAGCCAATCAAAGCCGTTGGCGGGGAAAAGGCAGTTGTCAAGCAGCACACCGGAACCAATGAGAAGTAATAATAACAATGACAAGCTCTATATACTGTTTTAAACTTGACAACATAAATATTTTAAATGGATCCAAGTGTATTTCCTGTTTGAATGTTTTTGTGTGTCTCAAATCACATACTTCTGTTAGTACACTTCCATGTAGCATACTAAGTGCTCTATGTACTCATTGGAGTAGTGCGCAAATTTCGACAGGGTAGTGTTGTCTCAAACCAAACATGGCCGTTGTGCACTCACTGGAAATGATGACCGCAAATGAGCTAGTTAGCAAACTAGCATTAGCATTCGCATTATCGTTCGCGGTACCAAATCACTACAGACTGTTAAATTAACACAATAAACATACTGCTGGCTTATACCTGACAACGGTATAGTGGTGCTTAGTGCAAAAAACACATGTATTTGTACAATGCAGAGACGTTCACGGTCACACAGTCCTCAGCCACTATTTCCAGTTTGAAAAGTGGTTCCTCCCCTTCCGCTACGTAGCCAAGATGGCGACCATTAAGGGCGAGAAGTGTCCATAGTTCCACGCTCAACTTCTTGACTGTTTTGAGTGCACCATCCGGGTACTCATAGTGCACTGCATTTTTCCATACTTCTCAGTGTGAACGCGCTTATGCACTCAAAATATTAAGTGTAAGTACAGAAGTATGCGATTTGAGACACTGCATTTGTTAATGTAGCCACTAACAGGAAGCAAACAGGGACCAAAGCTGTTGCCCTAGTAACAGACTAGCAACAAAACCATGGATGTTTAAGGAGACCTGGATACGGCGTTGGAGGCAGCCTGTTCATTCCTATGAAAGTTGCTCATTGGCGCATTCAGCAACAAAAGCTTGATTTCCGCATTATGAAATTAACCATATCTTTCACATTGTGAGGCCCATAGAACAAGCGCAGTGGAGACTAGCAGAGGCCAAGCTCGGCCAATTCAGTCGGTTAAGCCCTCCTCTGGAATAGGGACAGAATTATTTAGTTGTGCGGCTCTTGTAGACTTTCCAAATGTTAGCGGATGGAATGGATGAAATACCGACAGTTAAACAAATCATTTTGCAGGGGTTGTGATGCTCAAAAAAATTAGCCACCTCTTCCCCAGTGTAAGTCTATGGGAAAAGGTCTTTTTGGCCCCAAACATCACGTGGCAAGCCCAGTCTTTGTAGCTCCACTTTTATCCACTAATGTAAAATTGGCTTCAAGGCCAGGCACTGCTCCTCAGGGCTTGAATGAAACAGTCCATAGACAAGATACACAGTGCCAACAGGGTGTTCGTCTCAGTATCACCTTACCTTTCTTGTTTGCTTTAATTTGCTCCACTCCACTCTTAAAATCCCAGCGTAACAAGTATTTTGGCGTGGCTACACATCAGCGTGGACTTAAAATGATGTCAGATTCAGGTGGATATGTTGGTCTCTGGTAACTGGTTAGGGAAAATCAAATTCCCCTCCCCCAAGGAAATTTGTTAGAGTGTAGGCAGTGTCAGACTAAAGATGGAAACATAGTGTAAAGACTTGACAGTTCTGTGTGATATCAGGCAAGTTTGTGGGTTGTTCTTGTATTTTCTTTTAAGGGTTTTGTTTCCATCTTTAAGTGGGTCAACATCTTGCACTTCCTGGAACGACGCAGGAGGAGGGGTGTAAGCCTGTATCCCAACCCCATTTATTTTGCACCATATGTCCCAGTGATCCATTTTAAAGTACCCTTTTGTTATGAAGTTAGAATAATAGACACACTGATGTAAATGCACTCTGTCTCAACATGAAGAGTTCTGACGTGGTCCTCAACTGTTCCGGCACTTAATGTTGCTCACAGTACGTATTGGACTGACTGTTGTCAATTTAATGGAAACCTGATGCTTAGAAATAATTGATTTCTAGGCTCTTTGTTCTTACCGTGAACATGTGCTTATGTTTGCACCGATTTAAGTATGTTGTCACATGCTGTTATGCTCCTGAGAGCCTCTCCGTCTTTTTTGTTTGCTGTTGAAGTTACCTCAGGGACAAACTTCTTCATCCTGCTGCCCTTACTTGGCACCCTCTGAGTCGCCATGTGGAAATGTTTTGTAATCTGGCATCATCATTTCATTCATCTGTCTGTCCAACACTGTTGAATGGATTGAATGGACATGAAACTTACCACAGAAATTCTTCATCCACAGTGGATAAATCCTGATGATGTTGTTGACCCTGTGAGTTTACATTCAGCAACACCAGTGGGGACAATGGTGCATTCGCATCATTTGGAAGGGAGGGTGGTGCTTTAATGGCGAACAACATAGACCTGACCCAGACTAGCTAAGAGTTGGGTATCCTAAAATGCCTCTGAACAGAGTAGATTATTTTAATTTTGACAACAAGGCCTTAAATGTTGTTTTTAATGAGGTGTAATGATTGAATAGTAAATTTGTCCATGAAATAACTTTGTTTTCTGGCGTGAAGGTATTGTGGGGATGTTGCTAAGAGACTAAGAGAGGTACTTGGGACAGTAGCTGTGAAACTTGAACACTCACTGGGTTAGTCCAGAAACTTTCCTGTTCATAGCACCCAATATTCAGTGGCAGAGAGGACTGGCAGTATAGCTCAGTTTAATCATACTCATTCTTGAAACACAAGTTTCAAGTTTGGCATTGTGCACGGATGTGTTTGAGATTTGTCTGTCAGTTTGTTTGCTGTGACAACGTCACCTTTTTTTGTCCCGACAGGTTCACACAGTTGAGAAATATTTGAGTGTGTGTCTGAGCATTGACTAGGTGATGCAGACTCAAGGTTATCTGTTTTTTTGTTTTGTTTTTTTAATTTAAGTTTCATTAAGGTCACTGTTTTCTGATGTTTTGTATTTTGTTCATACAAGCATTAACTTCAGGCTTTAGGATGAAATGTTGACAGCTTTGCCAGACAACAGATTGCTGAGTGAATATAGATTAAGCCCAAATTTGTGGGTAGATTTAGTGTAATGTCAGACAGTGATCTTTACATGCAGTATGGGGGCGCTATCTGTCACTGGTATTAACCCTTCTTTCTTTTACTCCCCTTAATCCCTCCTAGTTTATCACTGTTTCCCATTTCACTCTTTGTTGGAATAAATCGGTAATCTTCAGACTCCATCTGTCTCTCTTGACCTTGGCAGAACCGTGAATGTTTTTGGCGGTTTGCATTTGTAGCAACACACAGCCTGTTTTGCTTCTGTCAGAATATTCTGTGAGGAACAAATCTGTTGCAGACGTGACCGTATGCATGTCATCTCCTCTCCCTGTGCCTTCTCTATCTCTTCTAAGTTTTTGGTATCTGTGCAGCATATCCACCCCCACTTTTAAAATCTATCACAACATACTAAATCAGAGATACCAGCCAACCTAGATACATGTGTTGCTCATCAGTAGTAATAGGCAGAACATGACGGTTTGTTTACAAAGCTGCACTTCCTTTATGCGATTAGATGTGTACAGAAGTGAAAGACATAACACTATCTCTTTTTCTGTCTGTCGCCTCTGCAGATATGTGTACTCCTGTTTACATGCCTTTACATGGTGTCCTACCTCATACTTACCCATTTCAAGAAGGCTGCAGAGTTTGTCACAGGTGAGTTTTTAAGTTGCTCTTGTCCTGGATTTAACAGGTACAGCAAACAAAGGCTGCTTTGTGAGAGAGATTTCCTTCAAAGGATCATGGAGGATTGCCGGGAAGGGAATTGATGGTGTTGACAAGTCTACTTATTACATTGGTGTTTGGATTTTTTTTTTCACACAGTATGTAGGCCACACTCAAGCAAGCACAGGTGTTGTTCAAACACGTTGTTTTCTTTTTATTTTGAGTAAATGGTCCCATATTTATACTGTGTGGGGGGTAGATGGATGCATAAGGCAACAGGGTCATCTGAGAGCAAGATGATGCTCAAGCAATAAAATGAATATCGCCATTTTCACAAACCTTAATCATACTTACTTATTTTATTGAAGAAGATATTACGCATAGATATTTTAGATTTGAATAATAGAGGTTTTCTGTGTTTGCTTACATGTAAACATAGCTGAGGTTAAAACACTGGAAGTTTCAACCTCTGGACCTTGGCTGGAGCAATGTGTTCCTGCATGTTTTGTAACATGTAACCACTGCTTCAGGCAGTCTCCCTGTGGATAAGGATGGTGGAGGGGCGGTGAGGAATGTGCTACAAGACAAACTGAGTCGTAGCTTCAGGCCCCAATACTCAGACAGAAACATCTCAGACGAGATGTTTTTTTGTTTTTTTTTTTCCCAACAAGCATACTGTACAAACAAAATCATGAGACGAGCTTAATCTGTCAGTACTCTCAGTTACTGGCTTTAATTTTTGACAGCTGGAACAAAGTTAAAAAAAATGTTTTGGTCGTCAACTTTGTAGCTGACATGCATTTGCAAAAGTGCAACATACCTTGTGCATTTGAATCTAAAATATGTTCTCTGTTTTTAAGAGTGAGAAAATGTTTAAAGTTCTGCGGGGTGACTGAGCTGACAGTTACATAACAAATCCCATAACTTGCCACTATTGGAAGCAGATGTAGGATGTCCAAATAGCCAGGTCTGTGTGCTCCACTGTGGCTGGGCTGGGCTGAAACCTGGAACATAGCCAACTATTTTTTTTCCTTTTCTCCCTTTTTTTTATTAAGGACCTGTGATGTATTAGCGCCCTGTTACAAATGTTGTCTGTGCATCAACAACAGCAGAACAGTTGTGCCCTGCAGCGACATGCAGATTGTGCAATACGTCTCTATGGAGTTGTTTTTGACAATAAGGAATCAAGAACTGGTTTCTGCTCCTCAGGCTTTACCTTATTATTAAAGAGCTGCGGCAACCTTTGCATAAGAGCAATTTACAGTATCCTGCACAGTGATGAACACTGCTTGGCAAAGAATAGCAATTCACATGGTATAGTTTTACACATCTACAGAAAGTTGCATAATACTTAGAAGTTTTTGGGGGTTTAACAGAGTGTTTTGGGCACATAACATTTATAGATGGCTTCCTTTCATACTCTAAATATTTTGCTCTCTGTAGTTTCCTGCTCATAGCGTATGTAATTTAGGTTTTAATAGAGTGGTGTTCTTGTTTGAACAAAATGTTCCCAACATGCTCACCCCCCACTCACTCCCCAATCTGAGACCACTGAGACCTTTTTCATCCTCATATGGACTGCTTCTATTACACCTTTCCCCTATACATATATACAGTGCACACACACACTGCCCCAGACAGCTTTTACCAACACAGACTTGCTATGCAGTCAAAATAACCTGTGTTTAAAGGGACAAGCCACCCAAAAATCAAAAATACATATTTTTACTCTTATCTGTAGTGTTGTTGTATTAATCTAGATAGTTTTGGTGCGATATGCAGAGTTTTAGAGATAAATATGTCTGCCTTCTCTTAAATATAATGGAACTAGATGGCACTCGGCTTGTGGTGCCAAAAATGTTAATAAAATACATTTGAAAAACTCAACAGCAATGTCTCTTTCTAGGAATCATGACCTGGTTACTCCACATAATCCACAGACCTTCTTGTGGGCAGTTTCAGTTAGGAAATATTTTCTTTCTTTCTAACCACACGTGCCAGACTTATGTGAGAGGCGTATGCCTGTGACAGCATGAGATGTAAACCTTTATGGCGTCCTTGGCTGAGCTGTAATGTTAGCTAGCTCAGTGGTGCTATGTGAGCTCGCAGTAGATACACACTTGCTTCTGTGCGCTGAAAAGGTTGGCAGGCGTAGATTGGTACAAAGAAAATAGTTCCCGCATGAAACTGCTCACAACAAGGTCTGCGGATTATCTTGGGTAATCAGGTCCTGATTTCTGAAAAGGGATATTGCTGTCGTGTTTTTCAATTTTGGCACTTTTAGCACCACAAGCCATCTAGTCCAGCATATTCAACTCACACCAAAACATTCTACATGGATAAATAGCACTACAGGTAAGAGTTAAAATATTCATTTTTGATTTTGGAGTGAAATGTCCCTTTCAGCCTTCATCAGTCACAAAGTTACAGCAAATAGGTTTGTTAATGTCTGTGGCAAGTTGTACAAACAAAAGATGAAATCCTATTTATGTCTCTACTCTTTCAGATGATATTGAAGATGCCACCGTCAACAAAATTGCGTAAGTGAACACCTCTAATGATTAACCTATCCACAGCAATCTGTTCCCAATCACTGACTTGGATTAGTGTCTGCGTGAATGATTGACAGATACCTTCGTCAGCGTGACATGTGGAGGGGCCCGAGACCATTTGGTTGTAAATTTATTGCCCTGTCTTGTGTGTGTTTATGTGGTTGTTGGTTGGGACGAGGGCACTTAAGTGTCACTCCACCCTTTGCCCCGACACGCTGGCACTGTATTACCTTAGCCACCCTAGCCTTTCACCTGAGCTGTGCGGATAAGCTCAAATATTCACTGATAGCTTGTCTCTCTCCTTCTCCCAGGCTGTGGCTGTGTACGTTCACCCTGTCTGTTGCAGTGTGTGCTGTGCTCCTTCTCCCCATCTCTATCCTGTCCAATGAGGTGCTGCTCACCTTCCCACAGAGCTACTACATGCAGTGGCTCAATGGATCTCTTATCCACGGTATACATCTTGCTGTTTTTATTAGTTGACAAAACCAAGCAGTTGATAATCTCAAAAAGCAGCAGAAGGCATCACTGTCTGAAACTAGATCAGATTCACTGAGGATCGAAAACATCCAAATCAATACACCACAGGCCTGTGTCCAAACAGATAATTACTATGGACAGAGTGGCTGTGACCTTGCTCAGTGTGTTATTTGTGTTTTTTGTTTTTTTTTAATGATCCAACTGCTGCTGTTTACTTCAGTCAAGCCGTCCAACTCCAGGCTAATTACACGGGGCCTCATTCACCAATATCTTCTACGTTTTTTTTTTTTTTTTAATTAAGAAAGGTCATAAGAAAAGTCTACTTGATTCATGACGTGTTCTTTAACTGCATAATTGTTCACACCTGTGTACTTAAAATGACAAATCCCATTGTCCTCATAGTTTAAAAGTCTGTGCCAACTGATGCTAGTTAACATAGGTAAACAGTTAACGCCCTGCCAGTCCCCATAAAAGAGCATAAGACTGCAGGGCTGTGTGCACACACAGAAATAGAAAAAGACAAACACCAAACAAGCTGTCATGAGCAGATATTAAAAAAAAAAAAAAATGTATCAGATGCTAAAAATATGTGTTAATCAACCCCCTAGTCTGTAAACTTTATCCTTTATAGTAGCACAGTTGTCAGGACTGAGGACTGGCTGAGTATGTTTGTGTGGGTGTGTTTAAAAGGGAAGCGAAAGGGGAAGAGAAGGTGGAATATTGCACAAAATGTTTCTGTAAGTTATTAACAACTTACTCTGAACACTGCTCGTCATTTACTGTCCCACCTGCCCAAATCACTGATTTTCTAGCCTGATCAATCACTTTTCATTAGATGGCAAAACTGATGTGAATTGAAGTGTTAGTGTAGCATTTATTTGAAAAGACCATGAGCTTTTTGTGCAATAATCCAAATAATTATTTAAAAAATATTGTAAATGTTAAAAATGTTAATGTATTTTCAATCCCGTAATACTATACAATTGTAGAACTGAGGAAAATGCAATATCCAATGTACTGTACAAACATGTCAGCACAAAAAGTGTGTAAGTGTGCTCTTTTTTTTTAATTGATCTTTGGGGGGGCATTTTTGCCTTCATTTGATATGATAGCATGTAAAGGGGGAGAGAGAAGGAAGGACATGCAGCAAAGGGCCCCAGGTTGGAATTGAGTCTGGGTTGCTGTGGCAAGGACTTAGTTTTTGTACATGAGATGCCTGCACTACCAGGTACCAAATCTCAAATAGGAAAGCACTGGTGAATGTTAGAATCTTTGTAAAAACTGCATGAGTGGATTTGAAGAAAAAAAAAAATCTTCAGAATTTACAGTGTGGCAGAACTATGCCTCCCAGTGGTTGATAGTAGTACTGCTTCACTGCAGTTTAATCTCTAATGAATGTTGGCACTGAAAAATAACATTTAAACAACTCTTTTTGTCTCTTGCCAGGATTGTGGAACCTAGTTTTCCTTTTCTCCAATTTGTCCCTCGTCTTCCTCATGCCCTTTGCCTACTTTTTCACGGAGTCTGAGGGATTTGCAGGCTCCAGAAAGGTACATAACTTCCCTCACATATGGCATCTGTAGACACCAGAGCCTTTTAATAAAGACTTAACTGTGAGTGCATCACAGAGAATTTGCTTTGTTTGTGTAGGGGGTTATGGCACGAGTGTATGAAGCAGTTGTGCTGCTGTTGCTGCTGGCTCTGCTTGTGCTGGGCATTGTGTGGGTGGCATCAGCCCTCCTCCATGACAACATTGCCAGGAAGAGCCTCTATGGTGAGTCACATGCATTATACCTGAAGATCCCTCAGCGGCAACTGGTTTTACAGTTTTTAATTGAGTTGCTTACACTGTCCTCCTCTGAATTTCAGACCTGTGGGAGTATTACCTTCCCTACCTGTACTCAGGCATCTCTCTATTTGGAGTGTTGCTGCTTTTGTGTGAGTATACGTCAATCACTTTGCTGCAGACTACTGTATATAATATGACACTTGCATATCACCGTCTGTTTGTTTCCGTCCTCAGTATGCACTCCCTTTGGGTTGTCCCGAATGTTCAGTGTAACTGGCAGCCTCTTGGTCAAACCACGGGTGAGTCACAGACCCAGTGACAACACTTCCCACGTCACACAGAGTAGCCTTTGTCTCATGGCTGTGAACTGAAGTTTCTGAATTGATTGATGTCTCTTATCCCCCTCAGCTGTTGGAAGATGTAGAAGATACCCTGAGCTGCACTGCATTTGAGGAAGACTCGCTCTCCAGGAAGCTGAAATGTGAGTGCGTCACGGTGAAAACACTCCTTTGCCATTTTGTTCAATTTAAATTTGACTGATTGACTTAATGTCTGCGTCATGTGTCGTTGTCTGATCAAAGGTGGCAGCACAACGTCATGCTGGGTCAAGCTGAACATGGAGGCGATGAAAAAAGAGTACCAAACAGCTCGGAGCAAGCGTATCGCCCTGGGTAAGATTGACTGAACAGACTGTGATTACACTGTATACTGTAAAACTTCAAGTAATAGCCTGGGCCGACGGTTGATTTTTTGAGAATTTAACAGAGCTAACGATGTGTAGCGTGTCCATATTGACAGAAGTTTTAACACTTACAGTTGTGTGCACGATAGAAGCAGCTTAGCACTAGCTCAATCAGGTAGCCAACAACTTGGTGAGCTTTAAGAGGTGTTAAACGTCCAAAGAACCTCTATGAAAATGAACAGCTTTGCAGCATCAATGTAACAAGACCCAGCGTCTATTTGAGAGCTACGTTAGCTGCTGTACAGTTATTGATTGTTGTTCCTTTTCCCTTGTATTCCTCTCGCTTTCCTCACAGAAATGCGCAGGAAAGCCTCCCCGTGGCAGCGAAACTTGGGCTATCCACTGGCCATGCTCATGCTCCTCGCACTGACGGTACACGCTCATTTACTGATATATTCTCACTGGCTGTTTTAACTTATTTATCACCACTGATGGTTGTTTTAATCGTCGTATAATTACTTTTCATATCTCTTCAGGTGATGTGTGTACTCATGGTCTGTTTCAATGTGTTGGAGCTGCTCCTGGATGAGACTGCAATGCCCAGAGGAATGGAGGTGAGGATTACAGACAGAAGCTGTTAACCTTTCATGCTCGGACTGCCAGTTATCGGCGTACACTGATGATTGTTATTTTTATGTGTTCTAGGACCCTCACCTGGGGATGGCCTCCTTCTCCATGTTCGGTTCACTGGGTGCTGCAGTTCAAGTAGTCCTCATCCTGTATCCTTTCATCCCATTCACCTCTGTTAACCTGTCTGTCCATTTGGCTCTGACTCATTTCTAATTTACTTTCTGGATATTATTTACTACCTCTGTGAGTTTACCAGTCTTCTTTCCAGTGTTGTCCTTAAAATGAGTTTCAGCTATCTGATGGTGTCCTCAGTGGTGGGCTTTTATAGCTCTCCTCTCTTCACCAGCCTCCTGCCTCGTGCACAGGACACCAACCTCACACAGGTATGACAGCTAACCTTTGCATGTGTCTTAGCTCACAGTGAGATGTAACCAGAACCTAATCTAATCTGGTGTTTACTCCTCATAGTAATCTCAAAATATTTCTGTTCTTTTCAGATAATTGCAAACTGCGTGTCACTGCTCATCCTGAGCTCAGCACTGCCTGTTTTTTCACGCACACTTGGTAAGGACATAGCATGAGTGTTCAGAGTTGAACATTTAATAGACAAAAACTTCCAGATACATACCAAAAAAAAAGCCTGATCTTAGAGTATGCTTTTTTTGTAAGCTACTCACATCTGCAAAACATTAAAATAAATTGTGAGACAGGGTCACAAGGATCGTAAGAAAACTTTTAAAATACTTATACAATATGCCTATATCTTAGGATTTCATTCATTTCTGTGAAGAAAACTAAATGAAATTGTTGTTTTTGAGGTTTATATTATTCTTCAAGGTAGAAACTTTTTTAAAAATCTCACGGGATAAAGTCACAGTGAAGACCAGAACACAAGCTATATTTACAGAGTCTTCACTTGCTGCTTAACAGCCTCATCCTGCATTAGAGAAGTACACAATTAAAACAACTCAAGAGCTAATAGAACAATGACCAATTGTCAGGGAGAAGAGGGCATTTTATACTTGAACTGGATTTGTCAAAAAAAGAAGCCTATTGAGTATGTAGGATTGTTAAAAAACAAAACATAATGCATACAGAGAATTGTATAAAAGGATTCTAAAATATCAGGAAAACTCATCTCTGTAATATTTACAGGAAAGAATCCCTTCCATCTCATTTTACACAAACTTCTGCAATCATCACCCTCACTGTCAGTTGCTCTGTACTGTTATTGTCATGCACTGAATATAATACGAAATGCTGCTAAAATATGTCACTTAGTCAGGGGTCAAACATTAGGAGCATTGAGAGTTGCTGAATCAACATTTTACCTGTAGTCTTAGTCATGCCCACAAGAGGGCATCTGTATGCCAGGAATACAGCAACTGCAGGTGAGGCCTGGCTCCAACAGGCTTCATTCACAAGTAAAACATTTTCTTTTGCTCCTTTTCCATCATGTTAGGGATCACCCGCTTCGATCTGCTGGGAGACTTTGGTCGGTACAACTGGCTGGGGAACTTCTACGTCGTCTTCCTGTACAACATGCTGTTTGCTGGTCTCACATCTGCCTCCCTGATCAAAACAGTCACCTGGGCGGTACAGAGAGAGCTCATCCGTGCCTTCGGTGAGTCTGCTTTCATTTTTATTTTAAAAAGCAAGGTGAAAGTACTTTGTATGCTTTAGGGCTGTCGATGAGTATTCTAAATTCAGTTACATAATTGAATTGTGGAAAAAAACAGACATTTGATTGTGAAAAAAGAAGCATACAAGTAGATACGTCTCTGGTTGTATCGGTGTGCCTTCCTATGGACATAGTGCAAAGAAAATTATATTCAAATGTGTGTGTTTTTTTTGTTTTTGTTTTTGTTTTGTTTTTTCTCTCTAATTCGACAGCCCTAGCGTGCATATATTCTTCAGTCTATGGGATTGTGTTGTGCCAAAATCATTGCCGCTCAGCCATGTCATACGTTTTTCCACCTTTGGCCCCGTTCCCCTATGGGCTGGTCTCTCTTCCTCAGATAGAAAGAATACAATTCTTTCAGGAAAGTGTAAAGGGACAAGAGGAGAGTCAGGTCCCCTCAGGGACCTTGAGGCACACCGCCCTAGACCCCTCGCAGCACACACACCCTCTACCCCTCCACCCAACACAAACAAGCGCTCAGAGCACGGACACGCCAAACGCACACACACGTACACACAGTCCCCTTCCTCACAGCACAGATAGCATCTCTGCACCATGGCAGCTCTCCTGCACTTTCCCATTACCTCCCAACTCACTTTTGTTCCAAGATTAATAGACTTTCATTTCACCTAAATCACTATTTTTGCAAGTTTAGTGCTCCACCTTGTGATTGTGCCTGATGTTATGGTGCTTTTTTTTTTCCGCAGGTCTCCACAGATTGCCCTTAACTGTGTCACGCTCCACCGTCCCCTTCAGACTCCTCCTGGCCAGTGGACTGTCTAAAATCCAGTGACTTTTCCTCCACGCCACTGCCTTTCCTAACCTTTAGAAACCGAGCCACTTCAAATGTGCGCCTATTGGATTAAAGGCATTTGCAATTCAGTCCCTTTGCCAGTTGGTACATGGGTCAGGTCGCCCTGTGTGAAGAGACCGGCGAGGTGACGAGTCTGCCCGCACCGTGTCCAGTGGGAGCACTGCTTGAAGTTGTGTTTAATGACCAATATATCAGGGTCCAAGTTTGTGCAGTTATTTGACAGCAAGGATAAATACTGGTACAAGCAGTGAGCTGAGTCGTGGTTACGACTGGTACAAGGGGAAAAGGGATTTAAGCCAGTCCTGCCATAGTGGACAATAAGAGAGCAACCCCCGCCATCAAAATCTGATGCCTCATGAAAAGAGGATCCAGTGGAAAGCCGTTGTTCTTTTGACACATGTGAAAGTCAGCAGAGTTATTTTGAAATATTACATTCTAACTGTGACGTAATTTCCTCTTCCTGTTCCAGGTCGATTGAGTGCTCTCTCTTTCTCTGCGACTTCCCCACGCTTTCCCCTCTTTGGTCGTACCACTATTTTAAGATTGGGAATCTTACTTCCATGTGTTTGGTGGTCCAGTCTGCACCAGTGTTATGTTAGTTAATGACAGGAAGTTGTTATTGGGAGCAAATAGGACGCAGAGTACCCTGTCTGCCTATGGATCTTCAGGTTACACAGGGAATATGCGAGGGAGGTCATAATCTCAGTGTTAGAGAAACGTAGTTTACAAGCAGAATTAGGAGCATTAAACAGGGTTTTTACTCTTGTAGATGACAGTAAGCGTACTGAGCCTGAGGATGACTCATTAATTTACAGAAATACACTAAAATGAAAGCTTTACACTTTGTCTTATGCAAGACTTTTGAACACCATGTGACACTCACTAGGAGGAACTTCTGCCTTTGACCAATCAAACTGTGAATTATTAAGAATTTATGTGGGGAAGTGCAATATTTTATAAGTAAACGCACACTTTTTAACTTTACCAAAAGTGATTTCTGAAATCTTCTATATGCTTTCTCTTAATTTTCTGTGAAGTATTTTTTCATCTCATTCCTCTTTGTTGGACACTGGGGTGAAGGGTTAGAATAGAAAAGCGAATGTGATTGTCAATCCATGCAATCTGTCCCAGTGTCAGTTTTTATATTGTGATGTGTTTATCAGCTGTATCTCATCATCATCAATGTGTTGGTGACTCTGCGTCATCGTTTGCCTTAGCTGCTGTATCAGCAGGTTATTAGCTGTTGGTTTGACCAGCAGGGGACAGTGTCTCTTAAACCCAACACCAGCCTCTGTGTTGTGTGAGACTCTTACTCCGCTTAGTTATTATATGTATTATATATATGGAACACTCTGAGGTTTACTCATTTCATTTTTCTGGGAATTTCCTTTGTTTTTGGGAACACAAAGTTTGTAATGAACTTTTTTTTTTTTGTCATTATTTATGGGCATTTTGGGATCTATACTTAACACGTTGACTCTTAGGATTTTTAACAGTTGTTAAAAATGTTGAATGTGATACAGTTGAGACAAAAAAATCTTTAGAGTTGTTCTCAAGGATTAAAAAAATGTTTGTTTACTTTTAAATGCTCTGTTTGAGATTTTCTGAACAGAATTTTTAACCACCATTGTTTTAAGAGCAGAACAATAAAAATCATCTTATGTTTTTAACTTCTTTGTGAGTTTTTGGATACACATGTAAACTCTCTCTCTGATGCTGTTTGTTACATTTAAAGAATTACATTGTGAGCGATCTGATGTGTGGTGGGTGGGTGTGACTGGCGAGGGCGTCTGTCCTCTTCATCCCTCCACCCTTTTGTTGCACTTCTTTAATCAGAAGCAGAAGAAAGCCATATTTTGGCCTGTCTGTCAGCAGTGTCCAGCCGCGACGCCACTACAGCCGTAGCCCACGCTTTCCTCACTCTGATGCAAGTGCCAGATAAAAAAACCCTGCAAATCAGGATGAGAGAAGCGACGTCCACACATTCACTCCTTCACGTCGCCACCACCACCCGCCCCCCTCCCTTTCTTCCATTCCTTTTCCTCGCCTATTGTTCATTTCCTCAGCTAATTTTTTTCTAAATTCAGTTCAAGAAAACCCCGTCTCTGATTAATTTCTCCCTCTTGATTTTTGTTTGCATTTCTTGTTTTGTTTTGTTGGATGTTTTAATTAAGCTTATTTGGTTTGGGATTTGTTTTGCACTGCCTTTCCTTTGCAAAAAGGAAATGAACTGAAATGTCGCCGTAACATTACTTGGACATCTGGAGACTGGTTACCTCTGAGGAAGTGACACATAAGCCAGATATAAGGTGTGTGTCTGGGGTTAGTGTGTGATCAGTGCGTCTTGAAAATAGACTTTTTGAAGTGAATAATTGAAGAAATTCAGACCGATGAGGTTGAGATTGTGATTTAGAGGGTCAAAAACAATTCAAGAAATGTATGCATGACTTGGGAAGCACATTTAGTCATTGCTGAATCATGTGAAAATGAAATATTAAAGGGTTTATACATATATATGGGCCCTATCCCCAACTCCCTGAACATTGAATTTAAAGATGCAATGCTGCTACTATGCTACTGAAAGTATGTCTGGACACCACACTATTTTACACTTTGACGAAATAGTGTACTTTATTGGTGTATTGCAGAGCAAATACAGAAAATATGATGATTTCTTTCTATTAAGGTACATTGTACACACACACACACACACACAGCGTGAAACAACCTTACACATACATTAACCTTGGATTGGAAACACTAGGGTAGCACCTCTCCCTGCAGCAAAATATAAAGGTCGATAGCAGTGCAATCAAAGTGTCCCAGCAGTCCCATTGGGTAACACACTCTATTGGACTAGCTGTCGGGCATATCGGGGACAAGGCGGGAGACGGGCAGCTTGTAATGGGATGAGATAGGCTATCTTTATTGTCAAAACATAAGAATGAAGGGGGGAAAAAGACAAAGATTAGCGTTCCTGACAGTCGGCCGTTTGAAGTCCGTGCCAAAGTGCATTAGGGGCTGTTATTCCCTCGTTTGTACGCTCGCAAATACAGAACCATTCACAGGAAAAGGCGAGACTTGCCCACTAATCAACTGATAATGGGTCACACTGTCCGTTTGCCATAGCTGCCCGCCATCCTGCGTGCACACTCACGGCACACTTTCTTCACACAGTTGACTGGCCTTTGTTTCATTGGGTAATGGGTGAATGGCGTGGCGTAGATTTTTAGGGAGAAACTTGTCAAATAACACTGTTCAATTCAAAAGAGAGCTCTTGGAGTGTGTGTGTAATATGATGCATATATTTTAAAATAATCTTCCTTTTGGGTCAGGTTCACAAACACAAGGTATAGCATCATACCTGACCTTTGACCTGCTTGTCTGGGGCCAGGAAGTTCCACCCTTCTCGGTCTATTGTCCACCTCAGTGCAGCATCGCCTCAGCCTCAGCTCACTGGTGCTCTTTTTCAAAGGCCAAATCAAGGCTGAAGCAAAGCAACTTAAACCTGGACACATTTCACATCACCCGAAGTCAGCACATGACACATGCAGTGATTGGTGTGTTCTTAAAGGTGAAGCGTGGCGAGTCGCTACCAACCAAAAGTTATAATACACACGCCAAGAATCATCCAGTGTATGCACCACCCTGCCTCTTCCTGCACTGATAACATGGTGAGAGACAGTGGAATGGGCGGTGTGGTGGTGGGCAGAGAGAAAGGACGTGTGTGTCTGTTTGTGAGAGAGAGGGGAGGGAGGCGGTTAGGTGTCAGTTCCTTGACTTTCCTTTCCCCCCCAACCCTTCTAACGGCCTCCATCTGAGGAAGTGGATCCTGCAGAGTGTCTATTCAGCTCCAAGAGACAAGACAAACACTTGAGATGTCAAAGCCGGCATTGTTTCAAAACCTTTTACAATGACTGAACCCTTAAAAAGGAGATTTGCAATCATAATTCATCCTTGACTGCATCTGTAGACGTCCTTTATGTGACGATATTAGCACTCTGATAGTCGCTGACGACTCCGCAGAAGAAGATAAACCCGGCTTGCAGGTATGTTCTGTATTTGACCACCAGCCCAGGTGCAGGCACAGGCGTCCATTTGCAAAGAACAAAGCAGGGTAGACTAACCCAGGCAGGAAAGATCTCGTTTTCTGCACTGTGGCTTTGCAGGAAACCCAACAATTCACCCGGCCATGTACTCCCATCCTGAAATGGGGGAGTGAAATGCAAAGAGCCAGAAGGAGGCAGGGGGAGGCAGGAGGATGGGGGCACCAAAATAAAAACTAATAAGACTGACTTTCTTTCCATCTCCAACCCGCAGATGTTTGCTTCCTTCCTTTCCCTTTCATGTCAGATGGAAATCTCTTCTTTTGTGCAGCTTTGAAGAGAAACATCGGTGTGTGGGTAATTGTAGATATGAAAGTGTTTGTTGCTTTTTTTTGATTGAGTCATTCCCTGCGTTTGTCATGTAGGCTGATGTCTCTCATCTGCGCTGCTTGGGCTGGACTTGATCCCTCTGCCATGTTTATCATAAGGACAGGAAGATGCAGCTTCGCCTTGCCACCCCTCCCTATAACATCCTGGGATCTTTTGGAAACTTCCCCGACATGGATGCCTTTCCACGGTCACTGTGGAGCTCAGTGACCTATGCTTCATCACTATGTAAAAGCACATTTTAAAGGTCCAGTGTGAAGGATTTAAGGGGACATACTGGCATAGATGGAATATAATTTAATAAATATGTTCTCTTAACTTTATAATCACCTGAAAATAAGAACTGTCGTGTTTTTGTTACCTTAGAATGAGACATTTATATCTACACTGGGAGCAGGTCCTTGTCCATGGAGTCCACTACCATGTTTCTACGTTGGCCACCAAAGTAATAAGCACCTTTGAGATGAGCAGCAACAGAAAAACAGTGTTTTTTTTTTTTTAATATAAAGCAGCTTTAATCATTGTTTCTACCAGTTTAAATCACCTGGTTCATTTGTTTTAGAGAGGAAGAGACCTGTGCGGATGATTCTGCTCCTGGTTAAAACTTCTGGAACATCTGGATCTTAAGTTATCATAGAAAAAAAGTGAGCACACATAAGCAGATGCTGACCTAGCAGCCCATCTGTGATGCACTGAACTGCATCGGATGAACGCTGATTTGTTACATGGAACTGCTTTATTCAGTGTTTGTACTTGTTACTTTTTGTATTCACTGAGTCCGTTTGTTTTGGAGAGGAAGAGACCTCGGCGGGTAAAGTGGCTCCTGGTAAAAACCTGCTGAGCAATGAACATTGAGGGAATCCTAACAGGGAGTTGACACATGTGGAAGAAGTTTCAACTGGTTGCCAACTGCATCCTCACCATTAGATGCCACTAATTCCCGCACACTGCTCCTCTAAGTGCTGTTTTCAAGCACAGTATGATAAAAATTTAAGCCATTAATGGTGATTAAATCTTGAAGCATCTTTAGCATGCAATCACAGCAAACTGAGATATGCACTGACAGAAAAAATACGCATGTAAACACCCACACAGTGCGCAACAGCTCTGTTGTGTTTGGGCTAAAGATTCTTTGAAACAAAGTCACTGTAAAAAAAACTGACCATGATGCATTGAGTCCTCAAGTGTTCCAGGAAGCTGCAGATAGCACGGTGACACACTTCGACCTTTTAATCTGCCATTAATTCAAGCTTCCGTGTGTGATTACACATGTCAGACCCCCCCGAGACAAAATGATTGCTCTTTTTTTTTTTTTTTTTTTTTTTGTTTCTTCTTTTGAATTATCTGACACATTTTTTATGACTCTCCCAGCTATTGTTCTGAGACAGATAAAAATAATATGTTGATGTGGCCGGCGGGTGTTTCCAGCGCAAAGGTCTTGGGTGCATAGGGTTCAGGGGGGTCAGGCCGGCTCCCCAAACACAGGAAGGCAGCACTGGAGAGTCTCAGTCAGAGGGGTGTCAAGGCTGGACACTTGTGTTCCCTCTTGGACCCTCACCTTCAACTGTGTCTATTAATAACATCAGCAGGGGTCATCACAGCTGACCCCTTTTGCTGCTGATGGGTGGGATGAGCTGTCACAAGCAAGGGAATGTTGGTTTAAAGTTATTCATTTGTGAATATACTGTATGTGCTCTGAATGATCCTGTGTCTTAAAAGTTTTAAGGGATTTTTGTTAAAGTTGCAAAACGACCAATGTTTTATTTGCCCTTACATATCTAATGAGGTGGAGGGAGGGTTGGGGGGGTCATTGTGTTAACATAAGAAGGCTAATCATCTGTCCTTTGTAAGGTTGAATTGGAGGCGTGTGCTGTCGCAGTGGGAGCGCGCAGAGGAAGGGAGGGCAATCTTGTCCGGACGCTAATAAGACCCAATGGCTGGTGCAAGGTGGCCAGGAGCTCCGAAACGCGACAGAAGACGGTGGACGAAGGAGAGAAAGAGGAAGAAAAAAAAATCTCAGGAGAGGAGAGATATTTCTGCACGGACTAAGAGGATGAGAGCGCCACGGGAGCGTCCATAGGAACTGCAGCGAGCAGTGGGGGCTTTTGGTGTGCGTCAGTTTGTGTGTCTCGTCAAAGGAACTGCGTAAAGAGAGGAGCGGTAAGTGACTAGAAAGCCACAAAAAACACCTGCGTCGAGGCAGGTACCTGCGAAGGACGTATGATAATGACTTTAAGTTCACAGCAGGGTTAGAAGCAGCTGATAGTGGCGAAATCTTTGGACAGAAAGCCTGTTGTGCTTTTTTTTTAATTATATAGCTGGTGCCAAAGTTCAAAATCTTGCAGCCAATCAGATCAGTCTAACTAACTTTTGGTCATCAAAGCAATACAAGCATAAAGTCTCACTTTGCACTGCACTTTTTAAAAAAGAGTGACTACAATAAAGAGAAATTCCTACATGTCCCAACAATTTTTGTCACCATCAGCTCTGGCACCACATGATTTGGAATGGACCAGGATTTGACCCTCATTCACATGCCGTGTCACTGGGGTATCACTGTGAGCCACTGACTCCTGGGAGCCCCAACTCTCCCCAATGAAGCAGTCCTGGTGGGCCCGCCTGGCACAGCTCGGCCTGCTCACTGTGTGGACCTGCATATGGCTGGTCCAGGGGTGCGGACCGGGCCCTGGGTACGGCATACGCTCCAGGCCCAGGAAACTCACAGCCATGCACTACAAGCAGTTTTTCCCCAACTTCTCAGAAAACAACCTCGGTGCCAGCGGGAGAGCAGAGGGCAAGATCACACGTAACTCTGAGCGCTTCAATGAACTTGTGTGCAACTACAACCCAGACATTGTCTTCAAGGATGAGGAGAACACCAACGCAGACCGCTTCATGACCAAGGTGAGGTTAATCCAGCTCTGTCATCTGAGATTTTAAGGTTGTTGCTGAATGGGATGTTACACTGGATCACTTCACTAACCTCAGTGATACCTGGTAAGTACACTAAAATGAGTATCCAGAGCAGAGACTGACTGAAGGATGCTCTCTCTGGTGTCTCTTGAACCTTTTCAAGCCAACCCCTCTGCTGGATGATTGATTAACTACATTCACATGAGGGGAAAGGCAGCAGTTCACAGCTCACGCCCTGCCACCCAGCATGGCACCTTCAAATCACATAACCTCATTCATTGTTTGCCGTACCTGCCCTCGCCTGGCTCTCAACACACAAACAAACGCTCAACACAGAGTGTGTAAGTTTTAACCAAACTTCCCCTCCCTTTTCTTGAGATAAGAAGATCAGGATGTAATTCAACACTACCCCTTAAGAGGCTGCCTTCCCCTTCAGGAACACTTCCTTTTAATCTTTAACCAAAGTCTTTGTTATTGGAAATCAAACTATTCCTATGACAGGTTCTCAGTGGCACTTGAACTTGAATTCCTTCATGTTGACTGGGTAGGTATCCAAATTCAAATCCCAGGCCTAGAAAAGACGATCATTGGCCCAGAGGATTTAAAGGGTAACTGTGATTTTTTTTACCTGGACCCTATTTTGTTTTGTTTTTGTGTCTAAACAACTAATGGAGACAACAGTTTTTTAAATTGGTCTAGTATCGAGCTAGAGTGATTCAGCCGGCATGAGACAGGCTGTAATGTAACCACTCAGGGCATTTGCGCACCATCCATTTGCATCCATTAAAATGCTTGTTTTGCCGTTGACGGTCTCAGATTGTTTTTATAAGTGTCTGACAACATAAAGGAAAGGATGTTACAGAAATAGACTCTTTTGTTAAAGAGTAAGATCCTTTTTTTTTCTTTTTTTTTTACTAGAAAACGCCCCAAAATCAGATCGCCAAACCCACCAGACTTCATATAAATAAACAGTCATTTTAGTGAGTATAGAGACAGCACATTTTTACATCTAACTGGGTGTATTAAGGGTTTATTTCAACCAAACCAGAGTTTATAATTTATGAAACAATGGAAAAACAAACCAAGGTGGTATTTGTGAGGTTTATTTTATTATTGTGGACTTTGAATGAAGTGTGTTTTACAATGATAAAATTACTACTTATTCAAATGGAGTCTGGTGGGTTTGACGATAACAATTTCGAGGCTGTTTCTGGTTAAATAAAATGGATCTTACTCTTCAACAAAAAGGTCTATCTCTGTGGGGATCATTTATATAATGTTGTCAGACACTTGTAATCCCAATCTGAGCCTGTCAGTGGCAAAAAAAAGAAACACTTTAGTGGACGTACATTGACAGTGCACAACTGCCCATTGATGTTACATTGCAGCAATGCACATTCAAAAAATTGTTGTGTCCATTTTTGACACAAAACACGGAAAAATTAGGGTCCAGGTTGAAAAATACAGAAATTACTCTTTAAAACATGGACAGCTTTTTGCAAAACATTTTGAATGCCACACTGCTGGATGTGTAATATAGAAAAGTATCACAGAGGGGTTGTAGTGAGGTGCTGATCACTGGGAGTAGCCTTGAAAGTAGGAAAGTATTGTCTCACACTGGCTCTGTATGCAGCTCAATTTGATGACCACAGGGTTTTTTGCCACTCGGATGTCACCCCGCTCTGGATGCTGCGGCTTTCTGTGATTGTTTAGGATATGAATCTGTGTTCCTACCCCTCCCCGTGTGATTGTATGTGATGGAAATCTGTGGTCGTATATGTGTGCCCTGCTGATGCCCAGTTTGAGTGTGTGTGTACGTGTGCATGTGCCCCTCTTTTGCCCAGATATGAAAGACGCTCTTTGTGCGTCATTTGGAGACTCGGAGGGGTCGCCTATACAAAATTCCCGCCTGCTGAAGTAATGGCACCGTAGGAAAAGCGACTATTGTAGTTTCTGACAATGAAACGCCTCTCTTCAATGGCATTGCGAGAAAAATGTAGCCAGTTTGTTTTCTGTCCCTCTCGCTTTCTCACTCTTGCTGTCACATTCCCAAGTCCGTGCCCATACATTCTTCCCCTCTGCCCTCTCTCTTTACTCCCAACCTCGGCCCTCCGCTACACTGCTTTCTTCTCACCCAGCTTTTTCCTCTCTCCGTCTCTCCATCACTGTTTCTTTCCCAACTCTCTTTCTACTTATTTTGCAGGATAAGCTTTATTTCGTCAATGGTAGGCCACAAGACATGCTGCATCACAAGTCACAAGAAAAATATGCTCTCAGTAGATGATAATGACTGTATCACCTTGGTTTGCTGACGTCATCATTTTTCAAGCCTGCTATTTTGTGACAATGCTGACACAGTCTGTAACATTATGGGGGCGTGAGGAGTCACTGTGCACATTTCTGATCAAATGTCTCAGGGGTGAAACTGAGAAACTCATGCCTGGAACAATCTGGACAGGGCAGAGAATGGCCTTGATTATTCTGTCACCCTGTCGAAAAGGGCAAGGACTCACCCAAACTGGCTACAGTAGCTTTGTTCTTGTGCTCTGATTGTTGGAGCAAGGTTGAGATGGCCTTTAGCGGAGTAGAGGAGGGATTGTGTGATGATGCCAGCAGACAGACAATCATAACCTGGGAGCCAGAGACAGTGTTGAAATGCTTCTTTTTCCTCTGAGTTGCACTGAGATCATCAGCGGTGTACAGTAGGCGTACATACGATGTGTACTTAATGTAAACACAGGCTGTGCCAACCCCCCTGTTAATAAATGATTACAAGTGTTACATCTACCCGAGTGGGGTTCAGACATGCCTTTCAATGTTCACGGCACATGCTGCAGACAAAGTAGCTAAAATATAATCACTGCCTATGAAATAAACTGAGAATATTTTCAAATGTTCCTTTATGTACCCTTATATTGAAGGATACAAGAGAAAAACAGTATAATATAATGCACAAAGCAACAACCCTACGTTCCCCTCCTTCCCCAACACACAATGCATTTCAAAAGGCAAACTAGAAGACAATAAAAGCGTAAAAAGGAATATCAGATATATTGATATAATCCACACACTATATTCCTACACATAAAGAGTGCTGTTACTCCAGTTTGTTATTGACAATGATCGAGTTTCGCATATAGTTTAATATTAAAGAACTTAAGGATAGTTTAGCCTACTGTGTATACATGTTCACTATTAAATCAGGATTGCAAACTGCAACCAGTTGAAAGGTCTCTCATGTGCTAAGCGTCGCTCCGCATAGAACTCCTTTAGTGCCTGTTGTACAGGAGGTTTTCATCTGGAGCCGAATTATGTGCAGAGGTCTGTTCCTCTCTAAATTAAACTGACTATTTAAACCAGTAAAAACACTGAATAAAGCAGTTTCATGTTACAATTTAGAGTTTCTCTGATGCCATTCGGCTTATCGCAGACGGGCCACTAGCTCAGCACCTTCTAATGAGTGCACGTGCTTTTTTCTTAATATCCTACTATCCAGACGTTCAGGAGCGAACTTATCCTAGCGGTCTCTGGAAACATGGCTGTGTAACATGGCGAACTCCGTAGACCAGGACCCGCTCCCTCTGTAGATATAGAGCTCATTCAAAAGTAACGAAAAAAACTACAATTCCTATGTTTTTAGTGATTATACACTAAAGAAAACACACTTTTAAAATGCTGCATTTCATTTCCACCAATATGTCCCCCTAAATCCTACACACTGGACCTCAAATCTAAATGGCTACCTGAATGTTTTCTACATTATGTTTCCCTATTTGAAAAAAAGGCGCGATAAATAAATCTAGGTATTTTACCAGCTTGGAAGCCGATTCAAAATGGACCCAGTGATTTGATCATAACCCCACACATAAGAGCAGTTTTCTTTAGAATAACGTTACATTACAGTTTGACTGATACTGGATTAATTACAGTTATAACATAAACAAACATGTTCGATCTCTAGATTTGGTTCAAAAGATCTTCAGCCAAGATGCACTGGGTGGGATATTTTACAGCTGAAATAAAATTGTCATTGCTCTCTGATAGACATACTATGTGATGGAAGCTCTGTTTCTGCAATAAATGACCTCAAACATATTTTTGATATTTCTGTACAGCAATATATTTGATGCTGATGTTGTCCGATATATTGGCCGATTTATCAGTTAACACTGTTTTCAAACTAATAAAAGGTTTACTGTCAGGAGAGGAAAACCAGGCAAATGTTTATTATTTTGATACTTACTGTTGATGGCGTAGGTTTTGTTTATCATGTGAATTTGTTAACAGCATTCACAATATACATAAAAGTATACTTTAAATGGTTAGGAGTTAATATATTCTTCAATTTCAAGTTCTAATTTGGTATTAAAAAGCTGTTCTCTAATTCTGTTGACCATCGCTTTCTGTACACAGAATGCATTTTTATGGGGGCATCTGTCTTTGCTTATGTTTTCTGTAATTTATAATTATGTTTATTGTGTCTGTTTCATTCTGAAAAAAAATAAATAAATAAATAAAAAATATATTTAAAAAAGTTCTTTTCCAAACTGAGCGCCTCCCCTCTCATTTTGTTCCTAGCGCTGTAAGGACTGTTTGAACAGGCTGGCTATCGCAGTGATGAACCAGTGGCCAGGGGTACACTTACGTGTGACAGAGGCCTGGGATGAGGACGGCCACCACCCTCCCGGCTCTCTGCACTATGAAGGCCGGGCCGTGGATATAACCACTGACGACAGAGAAACAGAGAAGTATGGTCTTCTAGCCCAGCTGGCTGTGGAGGCTGGCTTTGACTGGGTCCACTACGAGTCCAAATATCATATCCACTGCTCAGTAAAAGCTGGTAAGTGTAAGGAGGGAGCTTTCATAGACCATCATGCAGTTAAGTGTGTCAAATTACATCATTTCACTGGATGGTGTATCAGGACATTTAAGACAAAAAGAGGAACACAATCTGTGTTTAGTCATCTTGGCTTTTCTGCTGATCTTCCTGCAGATCACTCTGTTGCAGTGGAAAAAGGTGGCTGTTTCCCAGGCTGGGCCCGGGTGATGGTTGCTGGAGGGGTGCAGAAGAGCCTGTCTTCCCTGGCTCCAGGGGACAGAGTCATGGCCTTGTCTGGGACAGGCCAAGTTGTGTTTAGCCAAGTCCTCTTGTTCCTACACCGGGACCAAGAAAGCTGGTCTACGTTTCTGTCTCTGGAGACAGAAGATGGCCATAGATTGGCCCTCACTCCACATCACTTGGTCTTTTTAGCTTCCCACTGCAGACTCGACAGCAGCGAGTATGTGGCTCGGTTTGCAAGCAGAGCCAAAACAGGAGACTGTGTGCTCATCCATTCAGCAGAGGGTCAAGTCCGTCCATCTCGAATCATCTCAGTGTCAGTAGAGGAGAGTGTGGGAGTGTATGCACCCTTGACAGAAGCTGGAACTGTGTTTGTCGATGGGGTGCTGACATCCAGCTATGCTCTGGTGGGGAACCACAGGCTGGCGCACTGGGCATTTGGACCTGTGCGACTCCTCTCCTCATTCAGCCAGCTACTGTGGGGGGAGACAGGAAAAGAGCAGCAGACCACAGAGACTGAAACGGCTTGCATCAAGACTCCATTTCATTGTAGCACACTGGGCTCAAAGGACAAAGCAGGTGTATGTGTGAATAACGGCACTCTGATCAAACAAGACAATCTGAGTGAACCCCTGAGGATGAAAATGAAGGAGAAGCAGACATCAGAGGTGCACTGGTATGCTAGATTACTGTACAGTTTGGGATGTATCTTTTTAGACTCCGACTCCTTTCATCCTTAAAAGCCTAAAACTCTACACTCAGCACATGTCGTACCTCTCAGTGTCTCAGCTTTGATACATTTACACTAACACTTCCTGTTCTATTCTTCATTTAATAAAAAGCACTGGAACCGCTTGCTTTGTTTTCTCACCTCTGTTTGCATTATCATCCGTCATACATGCTAATACTTATGTGATGTTCTGTAAGAGATTGAGTTTGATGGGACAAACTGTCTGAGCGGGTTAATGTAAAAAATGGTCATGCCATCATGACTGTATCATAGTCTATTTGTACATCATGTTATTTCTTTAATTATTTCAGTTATATATGTAAAATATATATATATATATATGTATTATTCTAATGGGATAGGAATGAATTTTCCCACAACAATAGAATCTTTATTTTTGTACTTTCTGAATCATAATATATAAATGCTTCATTTTATAATAATTCCACTACATGTATTGTTCGTCCTCACGTGTTCTCATGTCATAAAACAAATTAAAATGACATTTTATTAAGCAACTCTCTGCTTTTTCTTCAACTCTGGGGTGAATTTTGTCTTTTTGCTTGTTTAGCTGAGTGCGAAAAAAACCTGCAACATATGCAAAAGATCATTTCTGGGCTGGTGGATGAGCATTATGTATGTTGCAGTGTTCAAGAGCTCTGTGGAAATCTAGTCCAGCAGGCCGACGGGTTAATGAGAAGCCCAGACGTACTTAATATTCCCCACACTGCCACCACAGTGACTTTATCACAGACTTTATCACATAGCTGCTTCAAGGGAGCCACTGGGTCTCTTCCAAGTTAAAGGAGACAGCTTTATTAGCATCCACTGCTCAAATTTGGGTCACAAGTACTATATCAGTTGGTGGCGTACACCAGTACGCTTAATTGTTTACACAACTTTGTTATTTTGCTGCATCCCATCTGTGTTTACCAGTCTGCACTATACATTTTGGCATTAAACAAGTGCAGTTTTCCAGTTGCTTGTAAGCAGTTTTGCAATGTAAATATACTCAATGGCTCATAATAATGTGTAAGGCCACAATCAAGACAAGTAGGACAAGGTTATACACCCCCTAGTGGAGGAACTGATATTAAACCTGTGTATTTTATTTGTTAAAATTTCTCAAAGGCCCTTGTACACATGGATGGACTACTGAATGGGCCCACCAGACCAGACGCAGCCTTCACCTGCAGATGTCACTCAACTCATATGACCAGGAGACTCAAAATGACCACAAAGAGATGCAAAGACACACAAAATAGGAGCTAAAACAACCACAAAGAGACACAAAACGACCACACACAAGATTATCACAGTGAAAATTATCACAAAGACACACAAAACCATAAAAAAATGCTTAATAACTACAAAACAAAACAATACAAAACAACAATAAAAAGGAGGCCAAACATCTATAAAATCTGTGTTGTACACCTGTGTAGGAGAGGTGGTGGGGCCTTTTGCACATCTGTGCCCAGGTACATATTGTCTCATAATCCACCCATGCTTGTGCATATTATAAATAGACACACCTTGATTTGATTTGTTTATTATTATTATTTATTTATCAGTAACCATGTGTGTGCAATAAGATGTCATTCGTCATTTTACAGCACTGGAAATCCGGCAAATGTTTGACTGGAGTACTCAACACTATATTATCAGAGCTATGAATTTATAGGATATTAAGAAAACTAAACCACAAACTGCCTTCACTGTTTCTCTAATTATCTTTGAGGTATATAACTGTAAAAAATAAAATACTGAGTAAACCAAACTGTATTCTCTTCTCCAGGTTTATGCTCTGTAGTAAACATCTGTGGAGGTATTCCAGGGGATTATCCTCGAGATACAGGAGGCAGATGGGAAAGCACCGGCTCTGCTGACTGGCCAATGGGAAAAGCCCAGCATCCTAATACCACCCTCTATTTACGTCAACGGGCCAGTCAGTCACTCTCTTCCTACCGGTCTCAGCCCCCCCAAAATCTAATCCAATCTTGCTAAAGCTGAATGGGGAGTTAACTAATCCTGTCAGGGGGACCACTAATAACCTATTTTCAAAATTAAAACCTGCACACCCAACATAATTCAGGCACTGAGATGCACACATTTACTGAGCAAAATATTATTGTGACTGATTGATACAGAGCAGTTTCATCAGGCTTGAATAGTTATGACACACCTTTATATTTAGAGACATGAAAAAGAAAATGCATCAGTGGAAATTTTGTATGGGTTTGTAATGACTGTGAGCGCCACAGAACATCTTCCTAAACTTTACAGACACCACACCTGAACAAATTGAGTCAAAATGTCTGTATCCCAGACAACAGAGCTCATAACTGCCTGTGTGATTGAAACCCAGACTTTGAGTTGCAATTGACTTTTTAACAGACTGAATTTCAAGTCAATATAAAACCATTTTTATTCATTGGATTCTAGTAACCAGAGGTGTGGACTCAACTTGAACTTGAACATCAATGACTTGTGACTTCACTTGGACTTTAACCTTTGGACTTGAAAATACTTGAAACCTTTCTTCAAAGCCAATCTGGGAGGAGACAGTTATTGACATTTTTCCAGTATGAGATGTGTTGAATACAGCAAGACAGGACAGAAACATTCATTCTGTTGTGGTAAACCATTGGTTAATAGTGCTCGTTGCTATTTTTCTTATCATTAAGTTAAGTCACACTGGTTTTAACAAATAAATACAATTTAAAGGAAGCATTCATCAATTCTGTAAATGTAATATCTTATCACTCTGTTGTTAAGTAGCATTACATTTGGTAAAAAGTGCACCATGACTTGTTAAGGACTCAAAACTGAAAGGGCTATGGGTCTTGACTTGGGACTTGTAAGTCTTGACTTGAGACTTGAATTGGAATTTGATGCAAAGACTTGAGGCTCACTCACTTGTGACTTGCAAAACAGTGACTTGGGTCCGTCTCATTCAGTAATATTTTAAGAGTCATGACTGTAAAAAGCACGGCCTCCTAAAAAACATGGTTGTCTCATCTGGTTTCATTGGACCTGCTGTCTACTGTTTCAGGTTTGGTGTATGCAAAAGTCATGATAATTTTGAAAATAATAATTGGTCTCTTCACCACCATCATGTGAATAATCGGGGCTGTGAACTAGATTCTTTGGGTGTGTATCAGTTGCTTTTTAAGTTTTACTTTCAGGTCACATTTAGAGGAATGGTAAGTGGACTTGCACTTATATAGCACCCTTCTAGTCTTTCAACAACTCAAAGTGCTTTCACACTACTTGTCACACTTACTCATTCACACACACATTTATATACTGGTGGCTGAGGCTACCGTACAAGGTGCCACCTGCACATTCACATGCACTCACACACCAATAGCACAAGTATCAGGAGCAATATGGGGGTCAGTATGTTGCCCAAGAATACTTCTACATGCTGACGGAAGCAGCTAGTGATTGAACCTCAGTCTTATGATCAGTGGACAACATGTTCTCCCTTGTTTAGTTGTATGGAGCTTTAAAAACCAAACAACATTTATCCTTTTGATAGGAATTTTTGTCAACATTTTTCTCTTCAGTTGTCTCATCTTAGCCGTGAGGCCTCTAAATGCCTCTGCGCATATACACAGACACCATACAGTGTAGATTCAGCAGGTGTTTGTTCACTGCTTACATTGCACACGAGTATTGTCAGGCATTCCTGTGTGATCACTAACATTACTTTTACACCTGAGACATTTAGCTCATGCTCTCCTCTACAGTGTTGGGTTATAGCCCAAGTAAAGCTACAGTTTGGCTCTGGGGCATGACAGGAGAGATACAGTAGCTGATGTGGAACAAACCTGTGACTTGTCACAGAGGGACAAACTGCTACTAAATCTAATTTTGTGCAAGTTCACAGGATCATTCCGATGACATCCAAGCTTCAGTGTGTGTTCTGCCTCTGGCATTTTGTGGGATGACATATGGAGGTTGGTGCCTTCATTTAAGAAGAACTACATACAAGAGGATTTGCAAGAACTCTTTTGGGCTTTGCAACACTATCTAAAAAAAGGCAAAATAAAATAAGCATGCATCTCAGAGGACTCCCTGCCCTTTTCTGCATAACAATTAAAAGCTGCTATATGCAGAGGGTTAGGATAACATGCCCTCACTATGTAGTAGTTTAACTAAAAAAAAATTACATTTAAGAATTGAGAACAACTTTCTGAAACCCATCCTCCCCAAGTCCCCCATACCACTGAGATTTCCTCACAGTAACAGGGCAACCTAATGATAAAGAAGGCCCCTTCTCAGTCCCACCTCCACATAATATACATTTTGTTCACCCACAGTATACATTATTATTGCTCCTTATCCTGAGTTGAACATGTAGCCTAGTGCATGCACAAATAACTATTGATCATTTATAAATGCAAAGGTCTGACACTGATTTTTACTGTTATTTCATTTTGATCATTCATTAACATGCTCATGGGTTAAAAAACATCACCTAGGTGGATGGTAATTACACATCTCTGGGTAATAAGACAAAGCAATGTGGCCACAAATCGCCAGTGCACATCACAACACGGTTATGCAGGTTTATGTAGGTCACACTCTGTGAACCTGCTGAAAACTTGGTCGAGGTTGATCCCAGATCATGGCAGTTTCAAATCAATTACACTTCCCAATCCCTCTCAGTCACTCCGACCAAATGCGCAATGCATAGCAATATAGAAACAGAGAAGGACTAATTAGCAATAGTACAGTAACACATTTATTTATTATGTTAATTACGAAATTAAATTGCACAAGAAATATGAGCCTAATCGCGTGATCGATTATCAAAACGCATGCATTCATCCGCCTGCATGTCAAAGTAGCTTTGGCTCCACAATCATAACAATATAATGAAAAATGGCTTCCCTGGATCCGAAAATCTAATGACCTAATATCTAATATCCACCATATTTCAATGGTCCGCGCTCTCCAGATTAAAACCGTGTGCTGTGTGCTTAATTAAATCACCCTCGCACAAAGTTGTTCAATGCCACACTAAAGCTGTAGCACGTTTTGCTGTTATCTAGTAATAAAACACAATTTTCGCCCGTTCTTTTGCATGAATTAATTTTTGACGTAGTTATTATTAGCTAGCACAGCTAGCTGCGGCTAGCCACTTGGCGGAACAGCCGTGTGCAGACGCAACGCAGTTCAGCGAAGTGAAGCGATGCTAGTGACCCATACAAGGGTACCCATGCAAAGTTGAGCTGCAAATTTAGGTAGATAAATGTTTGCAGTGGACTAAAACTAAAAGAAAACATATTTACAGTCGTGTCAACAAAGTTTGGGGCTGTAATTTTCGGATGCACTGTTTGGTGTAAACTTGCAGTAGCTGTAACGACCTCGCGAGCTAGATTCCAGAACAGAGCCGAAGCTAGCTGCTGTTAGCCTTCAAGCTAAAGGCTTATCCAAGGAGCCAGATAGCGGGGTAGTTTTTG